CCTGTCTGTCGGGCGTCACCTGGTATCCCATGTCACAGGAGCACTGATAGGTGCCCACCATGTTCACACACTGACCGTTCCTACACAGGTTATCACTGAGCTGACACTCGTTCACATCTGGGGGAAACAAACAAGATAACAAACATAAATAAATTGAAAATGAAGTTAATGAAATTCAATTGTGTAGTTCTAAAATATAGAAACTTGTATTATATTCAAATCATGTTAATAATAATACTATAATTTATTTAGTAATACTATTACATATGATGTATTTTCAAATATTATTTTTGTAATAAAATTATAAATAAAATAATTATTTAAATAAACATGAATTGATAAAAATAAGAAAAATATTGATAACATTTAAAGTTTAGAATTATTTAAATTTTCATTTAAAATACTATTTAAAACGTTTTAATTTTAATTATTTATTATTTAATTATACTGTAGTACTAAAGTAAATAATATTATTTATTATGTATATGTATGTATACATTTATATGTCTTTAATAAACATAACATTATAAAGTATTATAAATAAAATAAAATAAAATAGTAAATACCACTATTCTAAATTAAATATATTAACAAATTGGTTTCAAAGTTATAATATTACTAAATGGATAACATTATTAACGTTAAATTATATGTGTTTTATATATTAATAAAGTTCTGTGTTTTCTATATTGAATGTTATATTATATACAAATGCTATTATACAAATATATATCCTTTATATTTAAATTATGGTATTATTATTATTATTATTATTATTAATTATAAAAAATATTGTATTTACTTTAATAATATTTACTATACACACTATTTCTGTAATAACTAAAAATTATATATTTTTAGAAATAAAAAAAATTATACAATTTATTTTAATTAAGCACTAAATAATAACTTCTAAATATGAAATATTGCTAAATGGATAAAATATTAACTGGATCAGTTATTAAAATAAAGTAAAATTACATAAATAGGTTCTATATGATATAAAGAGTATGTTCTACTAACACATTTTTATACAAATTTTAACAAACAAATATATATTCATTGTATTTAAATGATAATAATAATATTATTATTAATAGTAATGTACTCATTTTATTACTATTCATAATCTATGGTGTATTTATTAATACTATTTGTCTAATAACTATAAAATGAAACTTTTATAAATTAAATAATAACAGTAATGTTGAATTGAATATTACTAAATTGGTAAAAAAAAAAAATATATGAAATATTATTAAAGTGTTAAAATACTAACTGGATAAGTTCATTAAAAATCATTTTAATTATATAAATGAAAATAATTATATAAATAAGTGTTGTTTATGTTGAATTGAATATTACTAAATTGGTAAAAAAATATGAAATATTACTAAAGTGATAAAATAGTAACTGGATAAGTTAATTAAAAATAAATGTAATTATATAAATAAAAATAATTATATAAATAAGAGTTGTTTATGTTGAATTGGATATTACTAAATTGGTAAAAAAAAAAATATATATATGAATAAAGTGATAAAATACTAACTGGATAAGTTGATTAAAAATAATTGTAATTATATAAATAAGTGTTGTATATGGCAAACAGAATGTATACACATTTCAGTATAGAAATACACATGATTTATTGATTGGTTTGGAGTGTGGCTCTCCTGTACCTTCACAGGCCGAAGCTTCTGGACTCAGCTGGTGTCCCGGAGGACAGTCACACTCATAACTGCCCTCTGTGTTCAGACACGTGCCGCCGCGGCACAGCAGGGGCTCCCTCTCGCATTCATCGATGTCTAGAGAGAGACAGAGATGCTGTGACACACGCAGGCTTTCAGAGGCTGCAGGAAACGGCACGGGTTCGAGTCTCACCCATGCAGTTCTTCATCATCATGAAGCCGCTCTCGTAGCCCTCGAAACACTCGCACTCGAAGCTGCCGGGCGTGTTGACGCAGACGCCGTGTCCGCACAGGTCCGGAGAGATGGTGCACTCGTCGATATCTGCGGGAACGATGGGAACAGTGTGAGCGGTGCATTGAAACACATCTTGTGTTTGATTTAGATGCGGTGACGGGTGAGATGTTGACCTATGCAGTTCCTCTCCTCCATGGTGAGGGCGAAACCGCTGTCACAGCGGCATTTGAAGCTCCCGATGGTGTTTCGGCACGTCCCGTGAGTGCACAGGCCTTTGAAGACCTTACATTCATTCACATCTACAGAGAAAAACAGGCTCATAACCTCATTATTCAACACGCAGAAAAAACCCTGAAGGAAATACCAATAATCTTACTTTCTGTGTATTTGAGTGTTTTTGTAACCTAGTGATATTCTGGGGAGAAAACGGCAGAAAAATGTATGGAAAAACAAAAATTTGTAAATAAATAAAAAATGTAATTAATAAAAATGAAAAAAGTCAATTTGTATACAAATTAATTAATTGTATTTAAATTGTATTTAAATTCGTAAAAAAAAAAAGATTAATGTGAAAGTTTCAGGTAATAAATAATTATATTAATTTATTATAATTATAGTTATATTAAAATAATGATTATAATTTTTAACATTTTAAATACATTTTGTCAATTTGTACATTTTAAATACATTTGTATTTAATTTAGTAAAAAGATTAAAGTGAAAGTTTTATGTAACAATTATTTACATTTATAATAATTTTATTTATATTTAAATAATAACAATATTATATATATATATATTTGCCAATTTGTATATAATTAATAATAATTACATATATGTTTTATTAATTTAATAAAAAGATTAATGTGAAAATTTTAGGTAACAAAATATTTATTTATTTTAATAATAATAATAATTAATTAATAATATGTTTTATATATATTTTGTCAATTTGTATATCATTTATATTATAATAAAAATTGTCAATGTTTTAGGTAACAAATAATTATATTTACTTTTATTTAATTATAACATAAATAGAATTTTATATAATATAACATTACTATAAAATATTATAAATTCATCAGGTTTTGTGTGTGAATTTTTCTTGTCAGCCAATATCGGTATCAGATATTAGTGTTTTCTAAATTATTGGTATCGGCTCGATTAAGGTGATGTTGGAAGCCGATAATATCAGCAAACTTCTGTTTCTAACAATGTTTTCGATTGCTGTAAACACTATAGATGTATAATATCGGCCAATATCGGTTATCGACCAAAACAACATAATTATCGGTATCATATCGGTCGAAATGTTCTATATCCACACATCCCTATGAATAAATGACAGACAGCTCTGACGCTCCACCTTTGTAGAAAGGTCGTCCTGTCAGGATGTCTCCTCGGTTGGCGATTCCGGGTCCCCGCGGGCAGATGGTTTTGAATTCGGGCGTGTTTGGTTTGGGACAGGCCTCACAGTCCACGCCCCATGCCGCTCCCACTGTACAGCAGCACATATCCGCACGATACCGGCCCGGTAATGGCTCCACGCACTCGTCCTCGTCCCATTTCATATAACACTGCTCGCTTCTGAGATCTACAGGACACACAAACCACTTTAAATCACCACTGTTTGGTTAGCACGTGTTGTTAGTTACAAAAAAACAGGTTTGTTTTGGATCAGTTGTTCTTTTTAAGTCATAAATCAAGTTGATAGTTTCTGTTTTTGGTTTAAAAACATATTCATGTTGATGTATTATGCTGTCTGCAACCAATAAATCAACTAAAGCAATAAATCGTTTGAGAAAGGAAAGTTAATGATTATGTTTTCATACCAACACATGTTCGTCCGGCTCCATCCAGCGTAAGTCCCTCCGGACACTCGCATCGGAACGAGCCTTGCGTGTTCACACAGCGTCCGTTTGTGCACACGCCGGGAAATACCTCACACTCGTTAATATCTAAAGACGGAGCAGAAACATGATGCATCATCATGCAATGCACTAAATAATGCGGAAAGTAAATGCAGCAAAGGATTGTGGGTAGCACGTACCTTCACACACAAGTCCCTTCATGCGCGCAAAACCTTTCGAACAGGCTGGATCTGTAGAAAATACAGGTTAAAAACTTGTGAGATACTGTTTACTTTATGTTTCTAAGATTGCGTCTTTAAAGCAAATATTGGTTCAATGGTTCCTTTAGCTGAAAAAAAAACAATTAATTAATAAATTCAATTTTGGCTTAATTAAATTCTATTTGGTTTTACACTTTTTTTTCAAACACATTACTTAAATTTTTCTCATTAATATTTTTAATAAATATAAATAATATACAAACTGACAATTTATATGAAATATCTAAAAATGTATAATTGTTTAAATATAAATACAATTCTAAGATATATAATTATTTGTTACCTAGAATTTTCACATTAATCTTTTTTATTAAATTAAAAATTAATTCAATTAATATAAAATACAAACAAATTAACAAAACATATAATATAAATTATAATTTATTTTTAAATTAATTTCTAATAAATTATATATATATATATATATATATACATACAGTATACAGTGGGTACGGAAAGTATTCAGACCCCCTTAAATTTTTCACTCTTTGTTATATTGCAGCCATTTGCTAAAATCATTTAAGTAAATGTTTTCCCCTCATTAATGTACACACAGCACCCCATATTGACAGAAAAACACAGAATTGTTGACATTTTTGCAGATTTATTAAAAAAGAAAAACTGAAATATCACATGGTCCTAAGTATTCAGACCCTTTGCTGTGACACTCATATATTTAACTCAGGTGCTGTCCATTTCTTCTGATCATCCTTGAGATGGTTCTACACCTTCATTTGAGTCCAGCTGTGTTTGATTATACTGATTGGACTTGATTAGGAAAGCCACACAACTGTCTATATAAGACCTTACAGCTCACAGTGCATGTCAGAGCAAATGAGAATCATGAGGTCAAAGGAACTGACTGAAGAGCTCAGAGACAGAATTGTGGCAAGGCACAGATCTGGCCAAGGTTACAAAAAAAATTCTGCTGCACTTAAGGTTCCCAAGAGCACAGTGGCCTCCATTCCTTAAATGGAAGACGTTTGGGACAACCAGAACCCTTCCTAGAGCTGGCCGTCCGGCCAAACCGAGCTATCGGGGGAGAAGAGCCTTGGTGAGAGAGGTAAAGAAGAACCCAAAGATCACTGTGGCTGAGCTCCAGAGATGCAGTCGGGAGATGAGAGAAAGTTGTAGAAAGTCAACCATCACTGCAGCCCTCCACCAGTCGGGGCTTTATGGCAGAGTGGCCCGACGGAAGCCTCTCCTCAGTGCAAGACACATGAAAGCCCGCATGGAGGACTCCAAGATGGTGAGAAATAAGATTATCTGGTCGGATGAGGCCAAGATAGAACTTTTTGGCCTTAATTCTAAGCAGTATGTGTAGAGAAAACCAGGCACTGCTCATCACCTGTCCAATACAGTCCCAACAGTGAAGCATGGTGGTGGCAGCATCATGCTGTGGGGGTGTTTTTCAGCTGCAGGGACAGGACGACTGGTTGCAATCAAGGGAAAGATGAATGCGGCCAAGTACAGGGATATCCTAAACGAAAACCTTCTCCAGAGTGCTCAGGACCTCAGACTGGGCCAAAGGTTTACCTTCCAACAAGACAATGACCCTAAGCACACAGCTAAAATAACGAAGGAGTGGCTTCACAACAACTCTGTGACTGTTCTTGAATGGCCCAGCCAGAGCCCTGACTTAAACCCAAATGAGCATCTCTGGAGAGACCTAAAAATGGCTGTCCACCAACGTTTACCATCCAACCTGACAGAACTGGAGAGGATCTGCAAGGAAGAATGGCAGAGGATCCCCAAATCCAGGTGTGAAAAACTTATTGCATCTTTCCCAAAAAGACTCATAGCTGTATTAGATCATATATTTTTATTAATTATTCTTTTTTTTTTTATATATATATATATATATATATATATATATATATATATATATATATAAATGTGCTTTGTGTATATGTACTAACCATTTTCGCAGTGTTCACATGGGCTTCCCCAGCAGCGTAGAGTATATATATATATATATATATATATATATAAATGTGCTTTGTGTATATGTACTAACCATTTTCGCAGTGTTCACATGGGCTTCCCCAGGCCGCCCCCAGCGTAGAGCAGCATTCGGACTTCAGCGTGGCCCCGTTTATATTCACCTCACAGCGGTTGTCCTGGATGTTTAGCCAGCAGGTTCCTTTCATGCTGTCTGCATGGAGCAAATACGTGAAAGAGAACCAAAAATGCGTGACAATGACAAATGGACGTTGTGACATTTGGAGCGGCTCCCCTGCGGAGAGTCATTGCATTTCTGCAGATATATAAAAACCAACTCTGATATCTAGCGGGATGGGATCACAGTGGGCATTCATGCTGAAAGCACAAACGCACGACCTATTGCCTTCATACTCCATTAATTTCAATCAAACGACATTCAGTTTCAGACAAAGAATGAAAACCGCCTGGCTAGAAATTAATAAAAGTAGCAGAATGCTGTCCAGTTACCTCTAAAAGCATAATAAACCTTGACATGCACATCACTATGCTAATGTTGCATAATATAGTCTCTCAAGTAGTATTTTGTTTAGCATATTTAGCAAATATTTCATAGCAATTTAAACATTTAATAGCAACTAAACTATCCATAAGACAAGCACCAATCAGAGAACTTGCTGTTACCATGGAAACTTGTGGCTTAAAACGACTTTTCAAACTTACCTACGCAGATGGTGCTGGTGGAGTCCAGCTTGCTGCCGTGGGAACATTCGCAGTTGAAAGAACCGGCTACGTTGCGGCACATGCCGTTGATGCAAGGGTTGGGGTCGCATTCGTTGATGTCTGAAAAAGAGGAGGACAGGTAAGAACGAAAGATACAATATACACAATGTTATGTGAAATTTACGAAAAAGATAACGAAGGAAAAAAATAATCGTAAGGAAACCTTCGCAAGTCTCAGAGTCAGCTTTGAAAGAGAATCCTTTGGGGCAAGAGCAAGTGTAACTCCCAGGCGTGTTTCTACACATGCCATTGTCGCACAACAACCGATTCACCAAACACTCGTTAATGTCTGAAAGATACGCAAAAAGTTAACGAAATTAATCAATCATAATTACTACTCATAGTTTTCAGAGCAAGTATTGTACAAAAAGTATTTTTTACATAAAACATAGTAGAAGCTACGTTTTTCTACATAATAATACAAATTTATGTAATAAAAATGTTAACGCAACTTACCCACGCAATTCTTGCCGCTAGTGTCGGACTCGTAGCCGATGTTACAGATGCAACGGTAGCTCCCGCGCAAGTTCTCGCAGATCCCGTTTTGACAGATGTCTGGATCCAAAGCGCATTCGTTGATGTCTATGAAGAAACCGAATACAGTCCGTAAGCATTTAGTATTCGCAAACGCGATTAGTGCATTCGTGAAAACAGACTTACCTCGTCCATCTGCAGTGATTCCAGGTCCGCTGCTGCACACCGCCTGAAACTCGGCTGCGAACAGACAAACAACGTTAGCCACCTGCTGTCACACAACTCAAAGCTGATGTATGTTGAGTTGATATTAAAGGTGCTGTATGTAGGATTGACACAGAGTGGTTGAACTAGGTAGTGCAGTCCAAATTCAAAATATTGGAGAGGGTTTTTTTAAATGAAATTAAACAGGTGATGAATGAAATTAAATACGCTGCGTTTTCCGCCAACTGGCAACCCGGGGTCCCGAAATACAATTGGGTAAACTGGCAGTGGGCGGGTTTCACAAACCAAAACAGAGACCGACATTCCGACACGGAACGCACATTTTCAAAGGAGAATAACTGACTGTAACATTGTAACATGTTAACTTAGCATGTTTCTTAAATATCTGCAAACATATTATGGTATTTTTATGCTTTAGTAGAGTCAAAAACGTACATACAGCACCTTTAAAGTATCGTTCGTGACTGGAAGGTGTATCGTTGTGGTTTACCGGAGTTGAACGCCGGGCAGGGTTGGCAGGGTTCTCCGAAGCCGTGTTCTGGGTTGGCGCAGCAGCATTCCGACTTGGTCACCGCCCCGGGGAATGGACGCGAACACGTGCCCATCTTTATTGCGCCGTAGCAGGTGGTGCGCATGTGGGTGTCCACGCAGACGCGGCCATCCACGTCGATGGCCAGCCCTGGCGGGCACTCGCAGCGGAAAGAGCCTTCTGTGTTCACGCAGCGACCATTCATACAGATGCCCGAGGTCTGGCATTCGTCTATGTCTGTCAGAACGAAACAAAGGCGCAAGCCGTTAGGGAACAACACGTCAATAATGACTAATGACGTCAATGACGGTCAGGAGAGGCGACAACTTTTAACATGATGCCATTGACATGAAAGATTTACGTCAAACGTGCACCAATGATATACAAATATACGCAAATGCAAACAAGATTGAAAAGTTACGATGAAGGAACGATTTCCTGAGAATAACAACTTAAATTTTGGTCATTAAAATCATTAAAGACATCAGATGCGAGAACCAAAGACATCTCAAGACGTGTGGTGTCAGATTTGACGTCAAACTTGAAAAAATGCGCAAATGGAAATTTGATATTAACGGTTTAGCATCTATATCTCGCACAATCATATGACAGAAGACTTGGAATATAGTGTATAGACTAGTAATATGCCACAGGTCTGGTGTTCATAGATGCCTGTCAGAGTTTAACGAAGAAGAAAATAGCGTAAACCATTAACGACATCAGTGACGGTCACAAGACGCAACAACCGAAGACATTTGACATTACTGACATCAAAACTAGTATAATGTCTTGTGGCACCAGGATTGAGATGTCAAATGTCATTGGTTCTTGCATCTTGCAACTGTAGCCAATGACGTAAAAAATGCGCCAATGACGTGAAAACATACGCAAAGCCGTTCTGAAGAGTTGCGCTGAATGAACGATTTTCAGATGACTGAAAATAACAACTTTGGTCATTAAAGACTTTGATTCTCGCAACTGGTGTTCATTTGTCAACAAAGACATCTCAAGACAGGTCAAGTCAGATTTGATGTCAAACTTGCAAAAATGCGCAATTGTAAATGGGATTTTAGCAATTTAACCGTTTGTTTCATGCATAAAACTATCGTAAAACGTGACAACCCGAAGACATTTGATATCACTGATATGAAAACTAGCTTGATCTGTCTTGTCAATGACGTGAAATGTCACTAGCTACGTTTCCATCCAAAGATTCGATTGCGCAAAACTGGAACATTGCATAAAATATGTTCCTGTGGCTCAGTGGTAGAGCATTGCGCTAGCAGCGCAAAAGGTCATGGGTTCGATTCCCAGGGAACACACATACAGGTAAAAAATGTATAGCCTGAATGCACTGTAAGTCAGTTTGGATAAAAGCGTCTGCTAAATGCATCAATTATTATTATTAATTATTATAAAACATATGCGAATAAAGCACCGTTTCCATCCAACGAGTCAAAGAGAACAAAATTGTCACTTCCTGGTAAACTGTGGCACTAAATATCACTAAGAATATAGGAGTAGCCACTGAATACATTAATTTTCATATGCAATAAATTACTTGCGTTTCAGAGAGAGCAGACGTAACACAATAAATGCGGTCATTGCTTTTAGAGGTGGATGCCTACTGTTTGGGAACGCAGTCGTGTAAGACAATTATACAAAAATATTTTGATGAGACTTTCCTCAGGCATTTCAGAATGACCAAAACAATATATAGATGCTGTGAACGAGATCGGTCCGCTGGTTAGTCAATTTATCACGTCTCATAGCGCAAAGTCACGTGACTTTTTCAATGCGCATGGTGGAATTTATTCGGTAAATGTGTTTCCATCGTAGTTTATGCGCATTTTTTCTTATCTGATAAAAAGTTTATCCTACTCAGTTGTGCGGATAAGTTTTTTATGCGCATTATTTAAATTTATGCGCATTGTGGCGTTTCCATCCAGCGGTTTTTTATGCGATAATCCAAAATGCGCATAAAAATAGGTGGATGGAAACATAGCTATTGGTTCTTGTGTCTTGTGACATCGAACATGTGCCAATGACGTGAAAAAATAAGCCAATGCAAATGAGATTGAAGAGTTTTCAGAGAATAACGACTTAAATTTTTGACATTTTTGATTTGGACAGACTCTATAGACTTGAATGTCACCAATGCGAGAAAGACATCTCAAGGCGTGTTGAACTTGGAAAAATTTGCAAATGGAAATGAGATTTTTAGCAATTTAGCGCATAAAACTATTGTATAACGTCATAAGACTTGGAATATAGCATATTGACTTGAAGTTACGACATTTTTGTGGCGCTTTTATTTTGTTGGATTTTTTTTTTGGACTTGAGGATGAGTAAATCGTACATGAGTTTAATCATCTTTGAAAGCGAATCCCAGACATGCTCACCAGTGCAGTAGCGTCCGTTGGGCGCCAAAGCAAATCCAGGTTTGCAGATACACTTGAAGCTGCCGTCTTCGTTTATGCACATGCCGTTGAGGCACATGTTGGTGGTGGCACATTCATCATGATCTAGAAGACGAGAAAACGCTCTCAATATTTCTGAAAATACACTATGCTGGATATTCAGTTGTTTTCTTGTACTAACTGTATTCATCAAAATTATTAATTAAAAATGTTTATGTTGACCTTCTGACACCCTCCACCCACCCCAAACTCCTTAAAGAGATTTATAAAGCATTTAAAACAATTGTTAAATATTTTAATGCAGGTTTTATAGTGTACAACCGAATAATCAGCAAACAAACAGGTGAAGCATCTAATTTTGTGTGAAATTTAAAAACAAAGTGTAAAAATATGTAAAATACATATATTAGGCAGTTAAAGTCGCAGTTTAAGCACTTACCGACGCAGTTCTTCCCATCAGGACTGATTTCAAAGCCAGCATTACAGATGCACTGGAAACTTCCATCTGTGTTCACGCAGCGTCCGTTACGGCACATAACGCCGTTCACGATACACTCGTCAATGTCTGAAGCAACAGGAACAGATTAGTTATAGGTGCCCACCAGAGGGTGCTGGGCTGTGTGATGTGAAGTTCTGCTGACTTTCACCATCACATTCATTGTAAAATGCCATTTGAGTGCTGTGTGCAGGATGCTGAGCACAGTCACATTATTTGGAAGTTTAGCTTCTGTTTAGTGTGTCATGCAAAATATCTTAAAATATTTTTTAAATAAAGCTGAAATAAAATAAAATCTAAATATTTGATTAAAGACTTAAATAAGAAATGTTTACTTGGCAAAAATAAACAAAAAAATAAAATAAATGTTGACTTGGAAACTAACTAAATACATTTTTTTTGTTGAAGTTAAGGTTGAAGTTTAGTTTAAATAAGTTCAAGCTGAAGTATTAAAATAACTAAAATTAAAACTGAAATAAAAATTAATTAAAAGCAATATATAAATACATAAAAAAATTATAAATAATATATATATACATAAAAAAATTATATATAATATATATATATATATATATATATATATATATATATATATATATATATATACAGATATAAATATATATAAATATAAATATTTTTAAATGTAGAAAATGTTTACAAAAAAAATACATAAGAAAATTATTAAAACAAACTAAAATTAAATTGAAAACTGAAAAATACTAATAGTAATAAATAAAAATTTTCATGGGACCCATAACATAAAATTTTGCTAAGAAATAATAAAAAAAATGCATTCACTGTCTATGAAGCATTTAGGCTTTTTTTGGAGAGTAAAATTGCTTAAAAATAAAAATAATAACAAAACATGAAAACCAACAAAATAATGAACAGACTTTTAAACTTATACTATATATATATATATATTGTTTTGTGTATATATAATATAATATAATAATCTTGCTTCCATTCAAATTTTAATGGGTCATATGTAATTCAATTAAATTTAACTGTAATTAAAATATTATGCATTTATTTTTTTTTAATTGCTTAAAGAATAAGAAAAATTAAATAATGATAATACATTTTTTTTAAATAATATAATATTTTGGTCATGAAGTACAAGACTGTAAATTACAATGTAATGATATTTCCTACTTTAAAGCTGTTTTTTAGCCCTAAAGAATTTTTAATGTAAAAATGTTAGCATTAAACGTGTTCTAGCCCTACAATTAGAAACTAAAGAAATGCTTTTGGCGTGAAATAGAATAATATCATGCCACACACCAATGCAGGCCTGTTTGGTGGGAGTTCCCTGGTATCCCTCGTGACATTTACAGTGATACGATCCTTGTGTGTTGACACAGTCTCCATTCACACAGGGGTTACTGATGCATTCGTCCACATCTGAGGGTAGAAAGCAGACGTATGAGAGACCATTAACACTATTAATCAATAATATGTGTTAAAATATTGACACAATCTGCTATGTTTATAACCCTGAGGCCTGTGGAAGTCAAGCAAACCGCCTACAGACGGCAGCATTTCAGACCATGTCAACATTTTAAAAAACAGGCTTTTCTTGACTTTCACTTAAAGATGAATGCACAGGTTTACCGATGCACTCCCCGCGCACGTCCTGCCTGTATCCCATGTTGCATTCGCAGCGGTAGCTGGTCGGCGTGGGAACGCAGCGGCCGTTCAGGCACAGGTTGGTAAAATGCTTGCACACGTCGATCGCCGTCTCGTTCAGCAGGCCTGAGCACAAACAATAAAACACCATCGATTTCTTGGCTTCGGATTGTTAGTTGAAGGTAAAAACTGGCAACTTCCACTCACTGATCTGAATCTTCTGGCCGCCGTTGCCGCCATTGCCATTTACGATGGTGTGATCGCCGCCGTAAATGTAGCCGCCGCCGTTTCCGTTGTGCGAGGGACCTTTGCCGTAGCCGCCGATGTTCAGACCGCCGTTGCCGTCGTGGATGATGCCGCCGTTACCGGTGGCAAACGGTAACCTCTGGATGCACAGTCGCCTGTATTCATCTACGATTAAACAATTGATGCTTTTACAAAATACTTTTTTTTTTTAATTGTATTTATTCATTTATTTATTAAATTGCAAGTATTTATACATTTTTATATTAATATTCATAAATGCAAACTATCACATAAAAAAAATATATATATATATATATATACATACATTTAATTTATATATATAAATTATATGAAATATAGATGATATATAAAAAGAGCTGCTTTTCACTTGTTCAACGCCTCATATATATTTTAATGCTGTTCATATATTATTATTTACATATTATTTTTATATTTATATTATTAAAATATATAGTATTAACATATATTAGATATTTTAATACTATTTAGTGTTATTACTTTATACATATATATAATTATTATTATTAATTAATATTTAAAACTAATACTTTGATTGAATATAGATCATTTAAATAGATAATATAAATATAGATGAACAATGAAAAAATGAGCAGACTGAAACTAAAGCAGAAAAACTGAGGAGTTGGCCGAGGATTTGGCAGCCGCTTCGCTCATGCATTCCTGCTGAAGACGCACGACGGTGTCAAAGAAGAGGGAAGAGCTTAAAACACGCGGGTGTGAAGACGTGGGAATGAAAGAGAGCGTTTTATTATCCCGAGGAACGGTCGCTCTGCTGACCTGACATATATTTATCGTGATTTTGCGGTGAGGTACAGCATGTCTGGAGCGACTCTTCAAAGAACACTACATAAAGGTCAAACGCTCGCACATCTAAAGAAATTCCTCCTTTGAAATGATGTTTTTATTGTAATACAGTATGAGCAGAGTCAACACTCATTTTAGTGAATATGACAGGATCATAATGATTTATACAAAATACAACAAAAGCTTTCTTTCTGTGTTGACATATTTCCTGTTGAAAAGGACGTTTGGAGCTTTTTTGAAGGCGCTAATAGTCTTTAGCTTGCATTACAGCCATAAACTATGCTACTTGCTATCGCAAAAGCTTCAAAAACGTTCTAAAAAGGTAATTTTAAATGTGTATATGTGACCCTGGAGCACAAAAGCAGTGTTAAGTCACTGGGGGATATTTGTAGCAATAGCCAACAATACATTGTATGGGTCACAATTATACATTTCTCTTTTATGCCAAAAATCATTAGGATATTTAGTAAAGATCATGTTCCATGAAGATATTTTGTAAATGTCCTACTGTAAATATATTAAAACTTAATGTTTGATTAGTAATATGCATTGCTAAGAACTTCATTTGGACAACTTTAAAGATGATTTTCTCAATATTTAGATTTTTTTGCACATATTGTCCCAATAAATTATACATCAATGGAAGTTTATTTATTCAGGTTTTAGATGATGTATAAATCTCAGTTTCGAAAAATTGACCCTTATGACTAGTTATGTGCTCCAGGGTCACATATATGCTATATATATTTTAAGAGTATTCTAGCATACAGATATTAGCATCAAAGCTAACAAACATGGACTAAAAACTTCAAAAAAGTTCTAAAAAGTTTTTAAAAGCCTATTTAAAATGTGTATTTATGCTAATTCTCTTGTACATTAGGATATTAAGTAAAGATCATGTTCCATGAAGATATTTTGTAAATGTCCTACTGTAAATATATTAAAACTTAATGTTTGATTAGTAATATGCATTGCTAAGAACTTCATTTGGACAACTTTAAAGGCGATTTTCTCAATATTTAGATTTTTTTGCACATATTGTCCCAATAAATTATACATCAATGGAAGCTTATTTATTCAGGTTTTAGATGATGTATAAATCTCAGTTTCGAAAAATTGACCCTTATGACTAGTTTTGTGCTCCAGGCTCACATATATGCTATATATATTTTAAGAGTATTCTAGCATACAGATATTAGCATCAAAGCTAACAAACATGGACTAAAAACTTCAAAAAAGTTCTAAAAAGGTTTTAAAAGCCAATTTAAAATGTGTATTTATGCTAATTCTCTTGTAGGAGTATGCTAGCATACAGATGTTAGCCTCAAAGCTAACAGACATGGACTATAAACTTCAAAAAAGCTTTAAAACATCTTAAAAAGTTAATTTTAAATGTGTCTATATGCTAAATATCTTTTAATGGTATGCTAGCATACAGATGTTCGCCTCAATGCTAACATACATAGACTGGAAAATTCAAAACAGTTCTAAAAAGTTTGAAGAAGCTCATTTTAAATGTGTATATACACTAAATATCTTTTAGGAGTATGCTAGCATACAGATGTTAGCCTCAAAGCTAACAGACGTGGACTAAAATCTTCAAAGAAGTTCTAAAAAGTTCATTTTTATTGTGTATGTACATCTTAAATATCTTTTAAGAGTATGCTAACAAACAGACGTTTGCCTCAAAGCTAACAGGCATGGATTAAAAACGTCAAAAAAGCTTTAAAACATCTTAAAAAGTTAATTTTAAAAGTGTCTATATGCTAAATATCTTTTAAAGGTATGCTAGCATACAGATGTTCGCCTCAAAGCTAACATACATAGACTGGAAAATTCAAAACAGTTCTAAAAAGTTTGAAGAAGCTCATTTTAAATGTGTATATACACTAAATATCTTTTAGGAGTATGCTAGCATACAGATGTTAGCCTCAAAGCTAACAGACGTGGACTAAAATCTTCAAAGAAGTTCTAAAAAGTTCATTTTTATTGTGTATGTACATCTTAAATATCTTTTAAGAGTATGCTAACAAACAGACGTTTGCCTCAAAGCTAACAGGCATGGATTAAAAACGTCAAAAAAGCACAAAAAAAAAATAATTGAAAGATTCTCATTTTAAATGTGTATATACACTAAATATTTTTTTAGGAATATGCTAGCATATAGACGTTAGCCTTAAAGCTAATAGACATGGATTAAAAACTCTAAAAAGCATTGACAAAGTTCAAATTTCTAGCATTAGCGATAGTAACAGTGACGCTTGACTTAGCAAAAATGCTAATGATTAGCATTAGCACACTCACCGGATCCTTTGACGGGGCACATCTCTGGGATGTGTCCGAGGGCCCAGCAGCGGCCCGTGTCGCAACAGCACTGCATCTTGGTGTACTGACCGGACAGTTCGCTCGCACAGCGGCCGTTCGCTAAAGACGAGAAACACGCACCGACCCGATGATCTGTGATGCAGAACGAGAGAGGAATCAGAAATGCTTGCTACTGTTTTTGTGTAGTATGCATACTGTAAACAATGTGAATTTCGTCAAAATTAGCAGTGTAAAACGACAGTATCCCAAAATGCAATGGGCTCAACTTGGCCTTCCATTTTTGATGTGACAAATGACCTGGAAATAACATCACACATGATGGTTTAACGTTCCTTTTTGACTCTAATTGCCAAAAGTGATGTTATTTACACACATTTTTAACTCCAAATACCACAAATGCTTTTCTCGCGAGTGCAGTCGCACATCACAGGAAGTCAAGTCCATGCGTGCCCTGTACACGGTCCCCTAGCAGGAAGTTAATTTATGAGGTGAGAGCCTGAGAAGGCCACTGGAGGACCAACAGCATACGGGGTTGAGATGGGATGTTTCACTCAGTCAGGGTCAACGAGGGGGGCTGGTTGCGATAGGGTGCGTACACTGCGACATTAGCATGTGTGAACCATGCGAAAGGGGGTTAAGAGTCGATTAGCTCGGCTAATGAGCCAGCACTCTGCAATAAATCAAGTCCATGTGGAGTAATCTCGGCCAATTACATCGAACATAAGAAACCCTTCTTCTGGAGGCTGCAGACCCGGCCTGAGGGGGGCAGGGTGGATTTCACAAGCGTGGTGACGGGAACGCTGGCTTCAATTGGAAACAGACCTTCTTGAGCCTCAAAGAGAGATTTTTCGTGTTTGTATGGGGTCCGGCGGTGCATTAACGCTGATTAGCGCCAGGCTAAATGACTCCCAACGGCCTGGTTCTATGAGAAGCAAAGCACCAGCTGGGGGAAACGCAAAGATACCACAAAACTTTTGCGCATTCTTTGATTTCTGGCCTAAAACGATGTCTAAATAGCTTGTTGTTGGTTACTAATAGCATGCTTGGCCTTTGGAATAACATGCACTGATGAACTGCGCACAATTATGAAAGTAATAGCAACAGTCAATTTTGATTTCACGTCAACTTTCGAACATTCTCCCATGACGCCGTGCTCCAAAAACCATTTTGGCTTCCTAGAGTCTTTGTTTTGTATGTCAACATGTAGAAAAACACACGGACTGCCCGCATTCTCCACCATGACAGGATCCATATGTAAAGCAAACGTTTGGCGTAAATCCACACGGGTTTCTGGGAACAAATGAAGGCCACGTCAACGCGTCATCCAGGGCCGATATCTCACATTTCTTTATTCGCACCCGGGGCCCCGACGGATCAGGGGGTTACGAGAGACTTATGTGGTGGCCGGAGTGAGAAACTCAAGACGGCGTATATAAAAAGAGACATACACACATATAGAGAGAGAAGGGAGTGTGAGAGAAACGGACAGTGAGGAGAAAAGACAAAGGCAATGCCAGAGTCAACAGTCCCTCTGCCTCACTGTACTGGAATGTTAGCAGGAGGAAATAGTATCCGACTCTGTTTTCACCATTGTCCTCTGGCAGCTGATCCCCCTGAGACCGGATGAGACCGTGTGAGACCTGTTCGCCAAAAGAAACCAACAAACTCTCTACGTAACCAAAGTCTCAAACTAAAGAAAGACTTGTCTGTCTGGATTGCGAAGGAACGGTTTCCTTTGCGAGCATTTTTAAAGGCAACATGCAACGGCATCACATTTAACTACAATTACATTTGCCTGTGCATGTGACCTTTGTGACGTCAACAAAAAAGACAAGTCATTTTTAAGTGCAGAAGATTTGTACGTAAATTGTCGCATGCATGAATAAAACCTGGATTAAATTTCCAGGTAAATTATTTTAAAAATCAAACATTTTTCATAATGCCAATTTATGCTGAAATTTGTTCTCCATGTGTTTCCTGGAATGTTTTGATGAAAGATTATTTTTCAAAAATCATTGTAAGATAAGCATGAATATGACATCTTTTACCCGAACGATTTTCATTGTAGGAATTTAAATTTGTACGTAAATTGTTGCATTAATTAAATTAACCAAATAAATTTCATTCAAATTAAATTCAAAATTTCACACAGCACCGTCTTTTAGTTTCAATCATTCTGAAAATCCTGTGTCGAATTGTGTCTTGTTTGTAAACGAATCTGCGGTAAAATGAAGTGAACAGAGGACCGAGTTCTTATTGACGCAGTCTGAATCTTCATTAAAAATAAAGTTCATCCACTCTTTCCTAATGTTGAGATCAGAAGGAAGGTGATGCAAAGACTGTGTTTTTCCACAGCTTGTCACTGCACAGCGTCTTGTTGTCTTCGGAGCATCTTTAACATTTGGTTTCTGCGTAGACCTGCGTTTGTCTCTCTCGTTATTAACACTACATGCGTGAATCGGTGGGCGGAGCTAAACAGGCAGTGATGTAGAAGCAGGCGTTGATCTTCTTCTGCGGAGCCACACTATTACATCATAAAGTGGCACATTCCACAACCTGTCGTTTTGGCAGACTGGCTTCAATATAAGCTGTTTTTAGACTAAGGAGAGAGTTTTGAGTTCTGAAACTTACTGGATGTTTTTATAGTACAATGACCTCTCATATGTCAAAAGTTCAAGGGAATTTTGATTTCTCAGTTCATTTCCCCTTTAACAAAAACACGAACATACAATGAATCATATCAACGAATCAATGATGAACTGACTTTAACTGAAAAACTGACTGTTTTCTATTGTCCTCTTTCATTATCAGCACGTTTTTCCTTTTTAACATTGTAAAGCTGCTTTGACACAATCTGTATTGTATAAAGCACTATATAAATAAAGGTGACTTGACTTACAGAAATTACACATTTGACCTCAAAAAATACTTTGCGAACTCATCCAGGTTTATTTACATCTTTAAAACAACGGTTCTGTCCTGTTTGCAGTCAAAGATACAGGCCTATATACACACAAGCACACTTGCCCGGGCTTGAAGCGGTTGACTGCACACAAGTTCATCCCATGAGTCATTCAAGCAAAATGAAGCACGGCTCAGATGCAGCCCAGGAGCACAAGGTCACGGGAACACGTGTGCATGCGTGTTTGTGTGTGTGGATGAAAGAGTCTCACCGACACATCTGGAGCCGTCTGCACTGGTGACGTACCCCCGCGGACAGGTGCACACGTAGCTGCCGGCGGTGTTGGTACATTCCCCACCATCGCACACTCCGGATATGGTTGCGCATTCGTCGATATCTAAAATACAACACAATGATGCATATCCTGCATTTGTTAAAAGTTTCAAAATGGCGATTTATCAGAAACTGTAGACTAAGTCTTGCAGTAGAAACCAAACAGCATTAACCAAATTAGAGAAGACAAATTTTTTAGGAGAAACATCTAAGCAGCAACTCTCATTGGATTCTACAGTGGGAGCAACAATTGAGGAAACCAAGAGATCTCATTTGTGGTTAGTGCTTTTAAACTGGCATCGTACACCTCCTCATGGTAACGTAACGCGACTATGGGCGCGAACTCAAAATGAAACTCGACAGATGGTAAAGAGTTTTCTTGGTTTTTACTGCGTGTCGTTCTTATATTTATGCACATGTGCAATTATGTTTATTTAGTAAAATTATATGTGGACGTTGTGTGTCGGGTTTGTCGCATGAGATTGAGGCGGGATGTGGGAAGAGCATGATGAGCGATTACGTGTTTGATGTGTGTGTGGAAACCGGGACTCACGGTGTGCCACAGCAGCTGAAAACGGCCCTGCTGAAGTAATAAAAACCTCGGCAAAACTAACCTGCTCGTCAGCGGAGCCCCAAAAGCGGGACTAGACTTTACTCAGGGTGGACGTGAAGCTGTATTGGAAAGGAAACATATGCCATCTCGACAAATGACTGCTGGAGTGCTTGTTCACGTCCTCATATGTTAGGAGAACACTACTTTGGGGTTTTACATTTCAGATGCAGTTGTTTCTCTGATCAAATGGTTATGTTTAGTTAAACTCTTTATTTAAATAAAGAGAAACAGGAAAAATGAAGGGTGGGGTAAAAAAAAAGCATTAAAAATTGAATGTTTATGACACTGTACCCCATTATTTGGGTTTAAAAATAGTTTTAAAAAGAATGGTTCTAAATAATGACAATATTCCAAGTTTTTATATTGCCATAACAACTTTTTTCAATTGTGATGTCAAAAAAAAGTTCTATGACAGAATGAATAATTTAAAAAGGTTTTTACAATGTTCTTACAAGTAGTAAGTTTCAAAGTAAGTTCTTACAATGTCACAAAAGAAACATTAAGTTATAATAAAGCCATCAAAAATAACTTTTTCTTATGAAATCATAAAAAGGTTCTTATATGACAAAATAACTTAAAAAGGATATTTTAAGTTCTTACAATGTCATCGAAGAAACATAGTTCTTATGATTTCATTATGTCATTTAAGAACTTTAAGTTATGAAATTATAAAAAGGTTCTTATAACTTAAGAACTTGAAAAGGTTCTTCTAAGTTCTAACTTCACGGAAACCCCTTTTTAAGTTCTTATAACACCATTAAAAAACTTGATATTCATACGTTTCAAGTTTTAATGATGTCCTTGAAGAACCTTTTTAAGTTTTTCTAATTCCATTAAAATGTTCAAGTTCTTATATGATACAATGTCACTTTTTAACTTTTTAAGTTCTTTTAATTCTATAAGTTTTAGGATATTATAAAAATGTTTTTATGACTTAAGATCTTAAAAAGGGTCTTCTAAGTTTTTGCCGTGTCACAGAAAAACCTTTCTTATGATTTCATAAAATGGTTATTTTATGACTTAAATATAAAAAGGTTTGTCTGAGTTTTTACGATGACATTGAATAACCTTTTTAAGTGCTTATAATTGCCATTAAAAATTCAAGTTCTTATGATATCATAAAAGGTTTTCCTATGAATTAAGAACTTATACAGACTCTTCTAAGTTGTTGCGATGTCATAGAAAAGCCTTTTTAAGTTCCTATGATGCCATTAAAGAAATTTAAGTACTTATGATGTCACAAAAAGGTTCTTAAGATCTTAAAAAGATCTACTTTTTGTGACCTCATATGAACCTAAAAAGGGTCTTCTATGACCTAAGAACTTGAAAGGTTCTTATACAGCATCATAAGAACTTAGAAAAGCTTTTCTACGGCATCATAAGAAAGGCTCTTCTACGACATTGAAAGAACTTAGAAGAACCTTTCAAGTTCTTATAACGGAACAGATGATAAACTAAAACTATCCTGATGTGAAGGCCTATAATATAACAGTAAAAATCTCCAAAGAAGCATCTTCTCATCTAAAAAGAGCTCATGACAAATCAAGAACCCTAAATCACAAAATATAAGAAGCTCTGCTAATCCTTTATATGTGTGTTTACATGCAAACTTGGATATCCTTAGCATTACATTTTCATCTTTCTAGAGCTACTTTCTCTGAAATGAGCTCCTGGCTTCTGTAAGTCTCCTCACCACGTCTTTAGAGTCAGAAAGTGCCCTGCAAGCAGTCCGAGATACCTTAAATCCTCGCCCGGGGCAAGACTTTTTCCACCACACTATTGTCTTTTAATTAAGCGCTCCTCCTTGCCCCACAGAACTACCACCTGGGTTTTTTTCCACCCAGCTTCAAAGAAAACAGAGCAGCACTTTTCCAGAAAACTTCAGCCGTTCAGACTCAAAGTTCAGAGTGTTTTAGTGATCACTCGAGTATCTAATTTACAGAAGTTGAGAAAAAGACTTCTTGGGTGAAGCTTGCAGACAGAGGTCTGCTTCTTCTCCAAACCTTCATTTTAGTCATGGCTTTGTCATTCAGGGTCAAAATGTCATTCAGATTTAAACTAATACCCTGAAGGGTTGGGATTCCTTTTGTCTGTCTTACTGGAAGTGTGTTGAATCCTATCGGTTTACATACTTAACTCTTTACTTACAGTTTTGAACGAGAAGGGAAAATGTTGAAACTTACAGGAAAGAAAAGTCACAAATGAGATCTCTCTAATACCTCAGTTGTTTCTCCTAGACACCAATGAGATTAAGCTGGGAGTAAATGGACACATTTCCTTAAGTACCCAGATGCATCTATGGGAAAATAAATGTGTCTCTCAATTTTTTATAGCGCTGTACTCTTCCTGTATGTCAGCAACTCATTTGTGCCTATTAGCATTCCTACTCAGGAATTTTATGACAAACATCTGAGACAAAGTAGATACTCGAATGAGACTTAAATCAAGTCTCCATCAAGTTAATGGAGCTATGATAAAAACAACCTCTGAGGAATGTCATTTACTTTAGGTAGGACTCTTTTCATTAAAAGACTGCCTGGAAAAGCGAAATGCAAGCTGTAATCAATGCATTTATAAAACACATTTTAATGAAACCGTAGTGTGAAATAAAATATGATATTTTAATACGTTTATTTTATAAAATAGAGCAATAGTGTAAAATAAAATAAAATAGTTCAATAAATAAAATATTTTATTTTAGCTGAAATTAAATGATAAATATTAGATTAGAATTAAATTAGAAATGTTGCCTTGTTTATTGACTGAAATAAAATAAGTTGAGGTGCTAATTAAGAAAACTAGTAAATATAATTCAAGTAAGAATATAGATTTAAAATATATAGACTTATATATTAAAATATATAGAATAAATATAGAACTAAAGCTAAATAGAAGTAAAAAAAGACATGCACAAAACATTTATAAAAACTAAAACTAAACTGAAAATATATATAAAAGACTGCTTTCAGTTCATTAATTTGATTCATTTAATACAATCAAATTAAATAAATTAACTTTAGAAATACTTAAGAAATATTTATTTTATTTACTGTTCAGTTATATTTTCAAGAATATATTTATTCAAAATTCTTATTTTATTTTACACCTATTGGTTTAATTTATTTGTTAATACTGACCATTTTCTCCATTTGCACTACTGTTAATTCACTTGCATTTTGCACCATTTTGGCAATACAGTATTGTAAAGCCAAAACAGCACACTAAGTGGAAATTACATACTGTGGTAGATAAGAAATAACCTCACCCATCTGGTATATAATAGCTGTGATCCACTATCTCTCTTTCTTTATCTCTCTATTTAGGTTTTATCTTAATAGTCCTAAAGGGCAGGCTTGGATCCATGAACCGCAGACCTCCACTTTACAACACGCCTGTTTGTTTTCACTCGGCATTGTTTAAATTCCACCCAAGCACCACTTATGTTAAAGATAGACCCAAAGAAGAAAATAGTCAACCAGCTAAACCAGGAATATGAACAGCGGCTAGACCATCATAAACCATCATGTAGGCCGATTCCAGGCAATATTCACTGGACCCTCAGATCTGATGTCAACATTTCATGCATATCAGCAACTTGGAAACCTTGCAAACACACAAAGTGTGTGACTCAATTTTTTCCAATTACGAGTTACGAACAGGACTGAGATCATTCTCCTGCTGTTCTCTGACAGCTTGCGTGATTTGGATTTCGTGCAGTAATGACGTACCTTCGCACTTCTGGTTGGTCTCACTTTGCCGGTGACCCGCGGGACATTTACACTCATAGGAGCCCACGGTGTTAATGCAGTTTCCTCCAGCGCATAGTCCTGGGACGGCCTGACACTCGTCCACATCTAACAAAAAGAGAAACAGAGCATAAGCAAACACATTCGGCCCGTATCTGTAGTTTGAACACAACTTGACCAGACACAATATCCCATAAATGCAATGCACTCGGCTTGCAACACATAAATAAATTAAATAAAATTTACAAATAACCCGGAAGCATTAATCCATGTTTTTTATCATTTCATAATATTCGACCTGACTGCAAAAAATTTACATAAAATTGCATTAAAAATGTAAAATAATGGCATTTTTCTTAGCAAAAAGTCTTATTTTTTAAATATCATGACTTTTTGTGTAAATTGTTCTTGTACAACACAGTAAATCATTGATCTTTATTTCAATAACACCAGACATAAGTTTAATTTCTAGGATTTGAGCGTCTTCCATGTGGCAAACAAAGCACTGAATTTTTTTTAGAGGGCACATGGAAATCTTGGCACAATCCAAGCTGCAAAAGAAACCGTCTTTATTCGGAAAGGAAACACTAATTTCTACTACAACAGCAGCGTCTAAAGCTCCTAAATTGAGATCCATTATGGGTTTTGCTCACTTAAAGGATCTCTCAAAGGTCACTTTATATCTTTGAGAGGGTAAAACACATGTATATCATCTTTGTTAGTCTGGGCATTTTCTTATGGTCTGAACTCAGACTTCATAACACAACTACAGTATTGTCTGGGTTGGATACATATCTGGCTAACACTGCGTTTATCTGTCTCTTTACGTTGATACGCACATGTCCGTAGGCCTTCAATCTGTATCCAATAAGCACCAAATCATTGGTTCTGTCTACTAATATAGGCCTAAAATAAGTTCTTCCATTAAATGCCATGTTGTTTTCATCTGCACTGGTCTAGAACTAAACCTAAACCTATTAAATAGTATATAAAACACAGTGCAGAATCGACAGCATTGAGGCAAAAGAAATTAGTTTACAGACTGAACTGAATATAATGGCATAAATATACTGGATACTGCAAAATAATACATGATTCCCATGAAAATTGTTTCGCTTTAGCCCATTGCTAAGGAAAAATTGTAGCTGACCGAGAAAAAAAAAGCCTCTCCCAACCAGCTGTGGATTGAATAAACATGCAAGTGTTAATCATGCTATAGTAACCTCATCTAATGAATATTCATGACCTAAGTGACTAAGGTTTATAATGTGTAACAGGCCTTGAGAACAGAATTAAATCATGTCCAACTGTGTCCCTGAAAATCAAACAAGCAGTCCAAACAATACGCCCATAATTATAAATAACAAAAAATACTTTGCGAACTCATCCAGGTTTATTTACATCTTTAAAACAACGGTTCTGTCCTGTTTGCAGTCAAAGATACAGGCCTATATACACACAAGCACACTTGCCCGGGCTTGAAGCGGTTGACTGCACACAAGTTCATCCCATGAGTCATTCAAGCAAAATGAAGCACGGCTCAGATGCAGCCCAGGAGCACAAGGTCACGGGAACACGTGTGCATGCGTGTTTGTGTGTGTGGATGAAAGAGTCTCACCGACACATCTGGAGCCGTCTGCACTGGTGACGTACCCCCGCGGACAGGTGCACACGTAGCTGCCGGCGGTGTTGGTACATTCCCCACCATCGCACACTCCGGATATGGTTGCGCATTCGTCAATATCTAAAATACAACACAATGATGCATATCCTGCATTTGTTAAAAGTTTCAAAATGGCGATTTATCAGAAACTGTAGACTAAGTCTTGCAGTAGAAACCAAACAGCATTAACCAAATTAGAGAAGACAAATTTTTTAGGAGAAACATCTAAGCAGCAACTCTCATTGGATTCTACAGTGGGAGCAACAATTGAGGAAACCAAGAGATCTCATTTGTGGTTAGTGCTTTTAAACTGGCATCGTACACCTCCTCATGGTAACGTAACGCGACTATGGGCGCGAACTCAAAATGAAACTCGACAGATGGTAAAGAGTTTTCTTGGTTTTTACTGCGTGTCGTTCTTATATTTATGCACATGTGCAATTATGTTTATTTAGTAAAATTATATGTGGACGTTGTGTGTCGGGTTTGTCGCATGAGATTGAGGCGGGATGTGGGAAGAGCATGATGAGCGATTACGTGTTTGATGTGTGTGTGGAAACCGGGACTCACGGTGTGCCACAGCAGCTGAAAACGGCCCTGCTGAAGTAATAAAAACCTCGGCAAAACTAACCTGCTCGTCAGCGGAGCCCCAAAAGCGGGACTAGACTTTACTCAGGGCGGACGTGAAGCTGTATTGGAAAGGAAACATATGCCATCTCGACAAATGACTGCTGGAGTGCTTGTTCACGTCCTCATATGTTAGGAGAACACTACTTTGGGGTTTTACATTTCAGATGCAGTTGTTTCTCTGATCAAATGGTTATGTTTAGTTAAACTCTTTATTTAAATAAAGAGAAACAGGAAAAATGAAGGGTGGGGTAAAAAAAAAAGCATTAAAAATTGAATGTTTATGACACTGTACCCCATTATTTGGGTTTAAAAATAGTTTTAAAAAGAATGGTTCTAAATAATGACAATATTCCAAGTTTTTATATTGCCATAACAACTTTTTTCAATTGTGATGTCAAAAAAAAGTTCTATGACAGAATGAAGAATTTAAAAAGGTTTTTACAATGTTCTTACAAGTAGTAAGTTTCAAAGTAAGTTCTTACAATGTCACAAAAGAAACATTAAGTTATAATAAAGCCATCAAAAATAACTTTTTCTTATGAAATCATAAAAAGGTTCTTATATGGCAAAATAACTTAAAAAGGATATTTTAAGTTCTTACAATGTCATCGAAGAAACATAGTTCTTATGATTTCATTATGTCATTTAAGAACTTTAAGTTATGAAATTATAAAAAGGTTCTTATAACTTAAGAACTTGAAAAGTTTCTTCTAAGTTCTAACTTCACGGAAAACCCTTTTTAAGTTCTTATAACACCATTAAAGTCATCTAATGAATATTCATGACCTAAGTGACTAAGGTTTATAATGTGTAACAGGCCTTGAGAACAGAATTAAATCATGTCCAACTGTGTCCCTGAAAATCAAACAAGCAGTCCAAACAATACGCCCATAATTATAAATAAATGTGACAAGCCATTATGTAATCCCATTTAAAACACTCCCAATGGAAGTCATCTAAATATTTGACTCTACTAAGAAACACAGTGGGGAAGTGTCCTCTTGGACAGGGACTGGAGTGGTATGGTTTACCCTAAACAGGCCATGACCTCTCTTAGTGTCATCTGCCGCGTCAGGCTAGTCATTAGGGCAAGAATTCGCCAAACATGTGAGCCAGACACTGAGAAGGAAAGAACTATTTGTTCAGATGCTAGCAGGAATGTTGACGCTCATTCTTACCTTGGCAAGCACCAGTGCGGATGTTGGGTATGAAACCTCTTCGGCAAGGGTGGGGTTGGGCAGGGCACATCTCACATGGGTGACCCCATGCTCGCCCGATGGTTGCACAACACAATGTCTTGGTACACACAATGCCGCTCAACTGACCTTGGCACATCTGGTTGTTGACTTGTGTGAAGCATGGCCCGGTCCGGTAGTCTGATTTTAGGAGGGATAAAGAGTGTTAGAGAAGTCAATAAGTACATGAAAACAACATTGGTTTTTCATACAGTGAAAAAGCCTTTCAGGGTACAATACCATCTCAAAACCATAAAAACAGCTTAAACTGACCTAAAGTGGTATGCTGGTCTTAGCTGACCTGGTCTGGTTTGGTGGCACTTATTTGACTAGCTGGCCAATTGCTAAACTAGAATAAACCAGCCAAGACCAGCAAGCCAACACAGGCCGACAAAACCTTCCAATAATATGATAAGACAAGCGCTGACAAACATTATGACATGCAACCAAGAAATTACGACCACAAGAAATCACATTTGTGGATAAAGAAAGCAGCAGATTCATATTCTCCATCACGCAGCTGTTTCCCAATCATTCCCATGCTGGAGGTCGGTCTGGGAATACTCTGACAGGGATTCTCTTTCACAGACTTATAATAGGATAACCAGATAATCGCTAAGAAATTGCTGGATTGCATCGATAATGGCAATTTCCATGACAAATCATCTTGTTTTTGGCTGAGGTCAAAATGTGGCATAGTGGTTATTGTGCTGGTTGCCAATTGAGTTGACTTAATCACATTAATGATGTTTTGAGCATCAAACAAACCAATTCGACACTGACATAAACTGAGCATTTCAGGATGCAGTCATTTCTGTTTAATAAAACTCAAAGAGATGCCCTGCTGTGCGATATTGCATCTTCCAAGCCTTTGCTAGTGATGTTTTGGAAATGTAATTGAACGAGATCCTGCATTTGTTTGGGGTATAGTGTGAGAGTCAGTTTACTCTAGCGGGATATGAATGACTTCCTGACCCTAGTCGTTCCTTAAAGAAATGAACAAATCTTTCCATATCCTTCATAATATTGCATGCCAACAAAAGCTAAATCATATATCCATACCCAAGAGGGAGGGAAATGGCACTAAGAAAGTAGGTCATGAGGAGAAGACAAAAAAGGAAGAAAGGCCTATGAAGATTTCCCCCTCACGTGCCTTCAAATCCCTTTGCTGTCCCTTTTCCTCGTCCCTCCTGCGCTCCCCTGACCTGACCATTCTTCCTGGACGATTTGAGTCTAGGAATGCAGGTCCTCTCCAAGTTGAGGCGAGCATCCTATGCACATCTGGGATTTATTAATTGTGCCTGTTCAGGACTATGGTGGGACAAGCTAAGGCCAATATATGTCCGTGCGTATCCAGTACTCCAATTCATCAGTCTCTCTATATTGTTGCTTTGACTCTTGCTGCGAGTGATGATATTCATATGGATAAAGCCTTCTGGGGCGTATCTATAAAGTCAGACTTTCTTGATTTGGTAATTTCCCATGTTAGGAGCAAACAAATGCAGTGCTTTAAAAATAGTGTCTATAAGCAGGAACAACCTTGGGACTTCTACTCTGAGGTAACTTGCACAACTGACTAGTGGATCACACATGAGTATTGAGTCACTTACATAAGGTAAAGTGTGACTTGTTGAAGGGTCGACTAGTTTTCCGGACATATAAGAAGTTGTACAATACCTACAAGGACATGGACGTCAAAAGTTGCTCTGCAGTGAAGGACAATAACAAAGAAAGTCCTGAGAAACGCCTGCCACAAGAACATCCTTGAAGCTGCTCAGGTCTGTCTAACAACCCTTTAATCTGCAATGAAACTGGAGCCTGGGAGTCTGAAGGCTCTGGCCAACATCATTCGGAAGCCGTCATGTTTTTCAAACCAGCCAATTTCTGCACAGAACCGTTTGTATGCGCACACGGCCAAAATAATAAATTTAGTGTAACACGGTAGGTCCACGCTAAAGACTGGACTCCTTTGAGCACTTTAATACAAAAGATTGTAATCTCGTTGCAACAGATCTGCAAGGCAAAAGGGAAACCGGTTAACTGCAATGTCATGTTGGCAAACTTGGCAGCAATGCACAGACCTTGCTTCCCAGAAGCAAGCAGACTCATATTCCGGAGAAGGGGGGATGTGTCTGTGATGCAAACAAAATTCGGAAGTAATTTTGCCTTGATTACAGTTCGAGTGGCTTCTCAGATCAAAACCATTCACCTACACCCTATCCTGCCAAACGCTCACTCACCTCTACTTTCCGTTTAGTCACCACAGTGTTTCCCTGCCAGCGACTTCTGCCGACTATTCAGCATACATTATCATGAATCATGAGGCAAGTTGGGGAAAAACGATGCCTCAGAAGGTTGCTGATGTGTGGCATTCACACTTGTCCAAAGATTGAGCGGCAGCATAATTTGGCAGGAGGAATTCCATCTTTCTTCACACTCCAACGACTTGGCCTGTTTTTATCATCCTCTGTGCTAATGGACCGAAAAGGAGTAGATTGTCATGAAATACCTTCTAAGAAATGAAAAATCAGCCAGAGAGAAGTTAATCTAGTCTGGAACGTTAAGCTGCAGGGACCAACTGCAGGTGGAAACCCCAAGCACAGCCAAAAACGTGCTCAAGAATCATTGACTGGGAATAGTCGCTCGCTTTGTTGTGACCTATTTTAGTTTAATCAGAGTACACACCAAGATAAGAAATGTGTTTTCACTTGGGGAGAAGCAGAAGTTCATTCACATAGGTCTGAAGAAAAAAAGGGCGGTAGAAAGGAAACATTAGACGCTCAAGCATTCCTGTGAAAGGCTTTGAAGATTTTCGGACGGACCAAAAAACTCTTTTACTGCTCAGTGATTTACAGTACGGCTAAATAAGACCGGCAATCTCTTCATATCTTATCTCTGTCATACACATCCAACAAGCCAAGGTTTCAACACTTTAATGACTCCCAAATGAGCCAGCCCACAATGAATCCAGCGAGCCTCAGTCTTTCATTCATGCATTCTCTTGTGGCTACAGGAGGATTAGTCATATTTCATTGCTTGGAAAACCCTTTTCTCTAGAATCCATTGCACCAGACAAAAAAGCAATGCCATCTGTGCTAAAACAGTGGTAATTGATGCAACTAAAATTGAACAGTGACCCATGACCTTGCGCAAAGTCAACCCTCAACTGTGAACGAGTATTACGCATACCTTTTTTTGGTGTGGGCCACGGTAAGCGATAACACAGAGCACACGTGGCTAAATGGAAAATTAATTAGATGGGGATAACACCATTCTTACCGTTAACTCGCTTAACTCCCCCTATAAACCGTGCCCGACTCACAGCTGAGCTTGCATTATGTTCGCAGAACTATTGTGCTTCAGTCTTTTCAGGATACAATTTCTTTGTTACTATCTTTTTCTTGGAAGACGGTTCTGGCTTTTTTGAAAGAACCAAATAGAGAGACTGACATCAGGACTTTTGCAAAACTGCATCATCTTTAGGAAATTCATCAACTGTGTGAAATCCAGTCACTTGATGATAAACAGGCATGCCTGAGACAGGCTAAATAAAGAGTCTATCTCTGCTCTTTAACTGTGAAATGACTAATTGCTTAGTGTGACGTTTTTACAATCTACAAGCAAGGACCTTGAGGGTAAGTCTGGGGGGTTTCGGAGACGAGAGTCTGGACTGAATGGATCTGATCGGGTGGCCCAGAATGGAGCTGCCGGGGGGCAGCTGGTGTCCTGTGGACGGCGCTCTCCATGTGAAGTGATTTTTTTGTACTAGTTCAGGCCTGGCTGTGTATACACAGCTGGGGTCTCCATTTCTTGGAGAACACCCTCCACCACCACCCTTTCTTGTCAGAAAAGTCTACAGCTCCACACAGAATCGTTCCCTTGTCATTTCCACCCTACTTTATCTACTGCCAGATGTCTCCCAAACTTTTCCGCCTCCCTGTGTTGGGTTTTCAAAGGGAACTGGCCTACGATTGCACAAGGGGGCTTCGTGAAGGGGTGGGGTCACAGAGAGAACCAGACGCAGGAGGGTGGGGTACCGAAAAAGGGCTTAGGTATTCGGTCTAGTGTGCCTGGGGCGCTTCTCTCCCACAATTCACACAGTCTGATGGGAGCTGCCTTTACAGTCCTTTCAGTCTGTCATTTTCTCATAACTCCAGCCAAGAATTTCACCTGTGACAGAATGTCTCGTGCACCCGTGAGGGAGGCTTTCGTCCTTTTTTTCGCCCCAGATAACCTCATTGTTCCTGGTTTGAGAGACGTGGCCACAATGTAAACTGTAGCATTAATTTCACACCAGCTACCGTGAAGGGAGAATCGCACCACCTCGAAACTAAAGTATTGTAAATTTCCCTTCTGAGCATTTTTGGGTCACATTGACACAGTGTTACCACATTCTTGAAGCAGGCCTGAGACGGTAAACAAACCGCACATCCTAACAGACGTCAACACAATTAAGACTTGAGAAAATATGAACTTTGGAAGCGTAGTGGTGGCTTACCTCTCTCACACTGCGGGCCAGTAAAACCGTAGACACAGGCACATTTGTTGGGTCCAATACAACGGCCGCCATTTTGACATCCAGTCTCACACACAGCTACAGAAAGCAAAATTGGTAAAATTAGAGAATTTACTTTATTATATTTTATCCTATACTTCAAAAAATGCAAATAGGGTTTTTGAGTTGCTATATGGTTCTTTGGAATGTTTAGAAAGTTCTTGATGCTTCATTAAAAGATTGTGAATTAAAAAAATATATAAAACCAAATTAAAATATTTAGAAAAATATATAGTTGGGTTTAAACGCATTCTAAGATCTTTTGTGTATGTAAGCCAAACTCTTGTAAAGTCATCTATCGTTGTGTGTGTCTGGTCAGGTATGTGGAGATGTCTGGACGCTCTGAAAAGAAAAATTCACTTACGCTGTCCACAGTGCGTTCCTATGTAGCCCTTCTGACAAGAGCAGGCATCTTCATTACAGACCCCTCCATTCATGCATCTGACGCTGCAGGACTGGACTGTACAGAGACAAGAGAAGTGATTATAATTCGTCTAGAGCGCTCAACTGTGCTCAGTATAACAATGAACCATGCTTGCAGCTAAAAGTAACTCCATTATTTGGGAATAACACAAAAAAATCAGTCAGAAACATTCTTATATTACAAAAAAATCATTGATTAATTTCCAGGAATTAGTTCAAACTGCTTTCTAATAAACTTGGCATTGTACACTATGAATATTGTTGCCTCTGTGATGAATTGCGCTAAAAGTGCTGTGGAATTTACTTTTAAACTATTTTAAACACTCAGAAATTGCTCAAATAAATATCACAAATAATTACAGAGAAATAGCAAGTAACACACTGATTTAAACATGAAAATTTAAAGTAGAAAGACTGAAATAGGATCCAATAATCTTTATTTACAACTTCGAAAAATCAAGTAAAAGTTCCCATGAGACATTTTTCATGTATTAAAATTAAAACATTATTTCATGAAAAGCAGTGTGTGAAGCAGAATCTTTCAATTTCTGCAGAAATGCAGAAATATTGAAAATAATATAAAGCTCCAAAAAAATAAGATCTTTTTTTGCTGTATCACACAGCCTTATATTTTGAATATTGTTATAATATTCAACTTTACATAGGTAACTGTTTGTATGCCCTTACATTGGTGTACATTTCAGTTTACTGTATCTCCCTCTCACTATTTATTTTATCTAGTCATACTTACAGTATGTATTTGAGAAAGACTTTTAATTCTTATACTTCTTATTGTCTTTCCAATATAAGCAACAGCCAATTCGAATTTGTGGTAAGAGCAATTTGACTCAGCCAACAAAAGCCTATTTTCATCCTGATTTTCTACCAGACATTTTTTTGGACAAGTAGATTAACTTTCCACCAATTTTCACGAAATAGGAATTCTCTTGGCATAGACAGAATCACTTAGTGAAGAATCTTTCAATAGAGTTTGTATATGAAAACATTCTGACATATGCACAATGAATCATCTCTGATGGGACTCTCGCACCGAGTTTTTCAAAAGACTGATGTTCCCGATCGGTTGCAACCAAACGTTGCTCTCGCCAAACTCTTTCGTTCTGTCTAAACAAAGTCATCGTGCCATTACGCTTCAGCCCAAATATAATTCAAGCTACTACTTATCCCAGACAAAAAAATATGTAACAGTTCTTCATTTATTCCTTTCATCTTTGCCTGCCATGATCTAATCCTTTTAAAGAAACTTAAAAAAGAATAAACTAAAATAAACTTGTTTTTTTTGTAAAGATTTGTCCGTTTTTGTCTGATTTCACATGGATGGATGAAGATCAAACATGGGTGCTTTTTGTTTTTCTCTGATGGCATGCTTTCAACAGCAAGGCCTGGAAATATTTGAGCATGGGCCGTGTTTTCCTAAAGCGCAGGAAATGACTTTATTTCATTGGCTAGACCTGCCAACGGCCCCCTACAGGTGGTTCGTTCGCTGACCCATGCTAAGTGAGCTGCACGTGCTGAGACGCACACGCAAGCAAAACGGGGCTCCCCGAGGCCTGCCACCCCACAATGCACCTCTGTCTGCAGTAGTCACATCTGTCAGTTTTTTACAAGCTACGATGATGGCAGGAAACATGAGCGAGGCTGAGAAACAGAGGTCCTTTATGGCCGTTTCTTTCTCGCGGCACAGTGTGGAGTGGAGATCCGTGGCCTGTCGACGTCAGATTCACCAACGAGACATGATGGGGTTTAAGATGAAAACGAATCGTTTCTTGAATTATAGCAGGGAGCGATAGTTCTTGTTCTGTGTTCTATTACAAATCCAGAGATTCATCTTAAGAGCTATCGGCCAGGATTATTATCTAAAACTAAAATTATTAAATAACATTTTCATTACTTGAAATACAATAAACGTTAACTGAAATAAATAAAAAATGTATTTAGTTGCCATGGCAACATTTCTCATTTTAATTTATTGTTTAAGTTGAAGTACTAAAATATCTAAAACAAAACTTCTTTCATTTAGCTGCCAAGACAACATTTCTCATTTTCGTTTAGTTTAAGCTGAAGTACTAAAATAACAAAACATTTTTTTTTTACAAAATCTATAGAGACTGTTGCAATAAAGTCTTATTAATTAAAGATAGTTAATGCATTAACTAACAAAGAGCAATACATTTGTTAAAGTATTTATTCATTTTTGTTAACATTAGTTAATAAAAATACAGCTATTTATTGCTGGTTCACGTCAGCTCAGTTCCATTAAAAAATATTAGGATACTTTTTATTTAATAATGTATTAATAAATGTTGAAATGAACATTAACTAAAATTAGTATTTTTCATTGTTAACTGATGTAGTTAACTAGTGTTAACAAATGTAATGTGTTACAAAAACCAATAAAAATGAATAAAACAACAAAATTACTAAAAGTTTAACTAAATTGGATAAGATACAAAAATGTACAAACACTTTAATAGTACATTAATGATACTAAAATAACACGGCTGGTGGCATAACATAATACATTTAGAAGTATGGTAATCAGACATTAATGATGAAGAGAAAGAGGTTAGCGTTACAGTATCTTTAGCACAGCTGCAGTGTTTTGGACGCTAATGGCTAAGGCTAGCATCCATGTTGTAGCTTGTTATTTATGGAGTAATTGCAGATTCATAGCTGACTCATAAATGTGGCCGCTCCCAACCACTGTAGACGGTACGCGGTCTGGTAGGCATAATGACAGCATTAACAATCTCGCAAATCTCATAAGGCTGCCAAAACAGAGTACAAGTGTATGTTTAGCATTTGCTTTCAAACAGTCAGAGGACTGGCAGCCGAATTAGATGGTCAATTTCTCATTGCCGAATAAATTGACTCTGGTTTTTTCAGCTTACGAGACCGAACCCTATGGTTTGGTGCATTTGGGTTTATTTGTCTGTGACCGCATATTCCGGGCATTTGCTGAGAAACGGCTAGACGCCACTGGCAGAGAGCAAGTGCAGTAAGAGAAACCTGCGCTAATGCTAAACACCTCATCCAGGAATTACCAACAGTCATTCCTTTTCCCAGCACCATCTAAACAAAATTAATCACATTTTTCTAAGTAAGTCATACAAACAGCTGGTGCAAGGTTTCACCAGTGGACGTGTGGTCTCAAACGTAACATATCTCAACAAAAAAACACGCCTGGCTTCACATTAGCTAATGATTCAAAGGATGAAACACTATACATTGTCAGAGCGATTTCACAGTTTTTCCAGCTGACCGAATCTGCTCAATTTCAACTTTCAACCAAATAAATCGCTGGAAATGTCAAGGAAAAGTTCAAAATAATGACAAGCCCTTCAACCGCAAAGGAAGCAAGCAGGGTAGAGAATTATTAAAAAAACACATCTACAGTCAAAGCTGTGCCCTAGCGGTTAAAGTCATTTTATATCCAGTTCCTCCTTTTCTAAACTATGCCTATGAATGAAAGCACCAAAATGGCCAAAAATAAAAAATAAATGATGAACTAGTCATGTGTTTTTCATACAGCCCAGGGAGTTTGCTACTAATGTGGGTGACAACTTGAAACTGTAATGACTGAACTCACCTGCGGCCGCACCACAGCTAGGGGCAAGATGACCACTTGAGCAGGTACACATATTAGGCCTCGAGCAAAAGCCATCCCCACACGAGTTCCTACAGATCGCTGGAGAGACAAAAATATTCATGACAAGGCATTTTGATCTTTTAGCATACAGACAAGTGGATAGTACTCAAGAATAATTAACTGTATGCAGCTTTAGGACATGCCATTTGCATGGGTGCAAAAACATGCTGCTTATTAATAGTTATTAAGGTAGTTGTTAAGTTTAGGTATGGGGTAGGATTAGGGATGTAGAATATGGTCATGCAGAATATGTGCTTTATATGTACTAATAAACAGCCAATATGTTAATAATAGGCATGCTAATAAGCAACTAGTTAATAGAGAGAATTGGTCCCTAATCTAAAGTGTTACCCATTTAGCCTTAGGCCAGGGGTAGGCAAGTTCGGTCCTAGAGAGCCGCAGTCCTGCAGAGTTCAGCTCCAACCCTGAAAGCAAAACTCACCTGCCTATAGCCTTAGTAATCCTGAAGACACTGATTAGCTTGTTCAGGTGTGTCTGATTAGGGTTGGAGCTGAACTCTGCAGTACTGCGGCTCTCTAGGACCGAACTTGCCTACCCCTGCCTTAGACTAACTCGAGGGTACGTCAGGGGGAAATCAGCAACTCTTCAGTTCATGAATCGCTCTTTCTTGGGTTTGACACTAAGAACTTTAACCACAACACAACCCCCAAGAGATAAAGGCTTAGACTTAAAGGGTTAGTTCACCCAAAAAAATGAAAATTCTGTCATTAATTACTCACCCTCGTGTTGTTCGAAACCCATCGTGTTTGACCTTCGTTCATCTTCGGAACACAATTTAAGATATTTTTGATGACATATGAGGGCTCTCTGACCCTCCCATAGACAGCAAGGTAACTACCACGTTCAAGGTCCAGAAAAGTACTGAGATGATCGACAAAGTAGTCCATGTGACATCAGTGGTTCAACTGTAAAGTTACGCAGCTACGAGAATACTTTTTTGCGCAAAGAAAACAAAAATAACTGTGACGTCATCACGCCACATGCTCGCGTATATGGTACTGTCGTGAACGCGCGTCCACAAGTGACACAGTAGAGACGAAAATGTGGAAAAAAGTAGTTATTTTTGTTTTCTTTGCACAAAAAAGTATTCTTGTAGCTTCGTAACTTTACAGTTGACCCACTGATGTCACACGGACTACTTTGTCGATCATCTTGGTAATTTTTTGGACCTTGAACGTGGTAGTTACCTTTCTGTCTATGGGAGGGTCAGAGAGCCCTCAGATTTCATCAAAAATATCTTAAATTGTGTTCCGAAGATGAACGAAGGTCAAACACGATGGGTTTCGAACAACACAAGGGTGAGTAATTAATGACATAATTTTAATTTTTGGGTGAACTAACCCTTTAAGTCTAAGCCTTTATCTCTTGGGGGTTGTGTTGTGGTTAAAGTTCTTGGGGTCAAACTCAAGAAAGAGCAATTAATGAACTGAAGAGTTGCTGATTTCCCCCTGACGTACCCTCGAGTTAGCCTAAGGCTAAATGGGTAACACTTTAGTTTAGAGACCAATTCTCTCTATTAACTAGTTGGTTATTAGCATGTTTATTATTAACATATTGGCCGTTTATTAGTACATATAAAGCACATATTCTGAATGACTATATTCTATATCCCTAATCCTACCCCATACCTAAACGTAACAACTACCTTACTAACTATTAATAAGCAGCAAATTAGGAGTTTATTGAGGCAAAATTCATAGTTGTTAATAGCGAGAATTGGACCTTAAAATAAAGTGTGACCACAAAATATTGGTAAATGTACAGTAGGTAAGTGGTATCTTCAGCATGCAATTTAAAAAACAAATGTAGCAGATACTTACGAACTATACACTGGTTTCCTGCGGGAAGAGTTTTCCATCCTGGACAACAATAGGAGTGGAAGCGGGAACCACATACGTTGGGCCTGAAACAATGTAAACAAGTCCATTAAATTACAGAAACCAAATATTATTCATGAATGTTTCTCAGAAACACACAACAGAATGAAATATCTACAGTCTCAAAGACCTCCTGACCCTCTGCAATAAATATGGCTCAATACATACAATCGCCCCAAAGGACATTCCAGGGAAACAACACGAAAAGAGTTTGTTTTGAGTAGGACCATAACTAAACTTCCTGAAACAGAAATATTTACTAAAGCTACTCTTATGTTCCCAAATGTACATGAGCTGTTTTTTGGCAACTTTCTCACCAAGAGTTAGTTCCAAAGAAAGGTGTCTGTTTAGTCATGACATGTGTGATTAATGACAAGAGCAAGCCCAAAGTTCAGTATTTCTCTGCTTAAGTGTGAACAAACCCAGCACCATGTTTTGGGACTCAGTGTTGTGTATATGACTTTATCCAAGATGACCAAGTCTGGTAACTGACAGCTTGGAGGCAAATCACCCTCAGAACGTGTCATTTTGCCAGTTTCTTTCCAGCAAGCCCTTAGGATCTCCATCAAACCTGGACCCTCACTGCGAAAACAGTTTTATTTCTATCAGCACCAAGTTAAGGCTGCTGTAAATGGACCTTTAAAAAACCACAAGGTACATCTGTCTTTCTACGCACACACACATAAATTCCTTTCCTCTACAAGTCAAGATGTTTACAAATGTCAGTCACCTGGGGACGACCAGCTGTAGTTTGAATCTTTTGATGGATTTCAAACCACATTGCCAGACGACACAACTGCTAACAGCAAAAACCAAGAGAGATGTGGAGGACCAGAAATAGTTCAGACTGATAGAGGGCTAGATGTTGGAAGACGAAAACGGAAAATGCTGGGGAAAGGGCAAGAATCAGTGGGAGGTAAAGATAACAAGTGGAAGTGAAAAGTTTGGGGGTTGGGAGGTTGGGCCGCTGACAAAAAAAACCCGCAGAGGAAATTAAGCCAGAAGATGATGAATTATCAGCAATGTGGGAACAAAAAGTCTTATTTCTCAAAAATGAAGTCTGAAGGTTATCCCTGGATGTAAACCAATCTCTTCTTTCTTAAATACTATGCTTTTCGGTGTGTTCACACTTCTTTAAGCTGGAATACTGCTTTGGGTGGTCGTGAAGTATCTGTGGAGAATACTACAAAGTAGTATTTCAAACACGCAATCCATGTGCAAATTACTAAATATATTAGTTGCAGTACGGTGTGTTTACCAGTACTAAATGAAGAACATTTGGAAAACCCAACATCTCAAATATGAACCAGCACCTCAAAGAGAGATATAAATTGGTAAAGGGTTCTTTGCTACAAGGCAAATACTTGGAAAGACCATGTGACTCCTTCAGCTAGATGGACCAATTAATTTCACTTCACTAGGTCAAATCCTTTTTCATTTACAGGGTCTACCAGCCCTTAGGCCAGAGATTTGCAAGCAATTCTTTGCCAGAGATCTCCAGATAAAGGAGGTCAACTTTACTTATGATGTTTGAGCCCTGAAAACCCATCGCAAACTGAATTCCAGAAATGCAAACGGTCAGGACAAGACTGAGATAGGAAATCTGGACGCTTGGATGGCCTCTGGCCAGTTCTCAGTGAGGTCATAAAAACCTAACAGGAGCTCTCACGAAGGAGAGAGGGTGTAGACAAAGATAGCATAATTCCATCCCACCGGCTACCACTCCTAAAGAGGTTAAAGGTCAATTTAGAGGCATCTGCTCCCAGCCCCCAGGATTGCTGCTAACTCCAGTCCAGAGCCAATGAGCTAATGGCACGGTTGTTTTAACATTAAAAAGATCCCATGTGTAAAGCCTCTGGATCTCTATGGCCTTTCCTTGTCCAACTTGGCCTGTTTCAAGCCCCTGACCCTAATGAACTCAAATCACACTGACGTCTAGACTATACACACTTTTGATGCAACGAAGGAGGGGGGGGGGGGTCTCTCCATATGATTTCATGCCTTTGATGGTATCGGGAATAAACAACAGAAAACAATTAGTTATGTTTTTTCTTGTTTGGTACAATACAATGAGTGCATTTGATAAGACGATAAGAATTTCTGGGCATGCTATTATGCACACATAAGGATACACTTATCAGATCTGTGTCTTCCTTTCCACTAGTTAGATGACAAACCCAAATGAAATGAGAAAAAACATACTGCTTTTCTGTTTTTTTTTTTGTTTTGTTTAGTTTTTTTGTGGAGTCCCTTAAAACGAAGTTGGCCCAGAGGTAATTTTTCTGATTTTAGACTTAAAAATGTATATTCACAAAGAACAATTCCACAACAAAATGTCTTGTAGCAAGCTCTTTAGGGTCCAAGAAGGATTGTTTTCCTTTTGACTGGCATGTACTTTTAACTGTTAAAAGACTATAAATCCATTACTAAGAAATCAGTCTCTCTGGGGATACAAACATCAAGCGTTCTGAAAGAACTGGAGCCCATCTTTATAGTCTAGTGGAGCTGACATTGCCTCTGAGACATGTAAAGCAAATGAAGAAAAACCCTGGCCAAGCCATCAAGACTTCTAAAAACATCTACCCCGAGCACGCTGCTGGCTTTGTACTGAGCGAAACTCGTCAGGGTTGGCATCGAGAACTACATAATCATATTCTCACCCCAAGACCATTGCTTTTACAGCAGTCTCCCAGACTTTACCTTTATTTAAGGGGCCCCCAAATGCAATGTGATCAGACTCCTCCAGTCTGACAGCCAAATTATGCTTAGCAAGGAGAGCCAGTAAGCTCCGAATCCTACTGCAGCTCTCTTAAACCGTCTGACCCAGGATAACTTGGCTTGATTGGTCGGCAGTAGATCAAATATGCTTTTTCGTCCAACATCATTATATTCCGCGTTCTTAAGGGCTGTTCTTACACAGTGTTGGTATGTTAAATAGGATTACAAATTATGCTTGGTGGTGATTAGATCTTTCTTTAAGACAACAACATTTGAGAGAAGTCTTTAAAGGGTAGTTCACCCAAAAATTAAAATTAGGCTGCGTTTTACTCACCCCCTAGGCATCCTAGGTGTATATGACTTTCTTCTTTCAGACGAATCCAGTCTGAGTTATATTAAAAATGGTCTTTGGTCTTTCAAGCTCTATCATTTCAGTCAGCGGGTGTTGCATTGCTTCAGTTCAAATGAAGTTAAATAAAAAGCGCCCATCCATAAAAAAAAGCGTCTCACACGGCTCTGGGGGGTGAACAAAGGCCTCCTGTAGCGAATCGATGCGTTTTTGTAAGAAAAATATCCATATTCAAAACGTAATAATCACTTTAATCTAGCTTGCGCCAACAGTTGTACATGGAAGGAGTTCCGGGAGGATGACGTATGAGGTCAGCGTTGCGCATGCACCGGTGAGTCTCGTGAAAACCAACGTTTGTTTACAGGATCATAGGAAGCAAAGTTTCCTTACTTTAGCAAAGTAAAACCAGTCTCCTCTTGGCTTATATCGAAATCCTTTGACATTATTCTTTACAAGTCCTCGTTTTGTACTTCTAATTAGTGACCGTTGTTTTGTTTTGATCTCTCCGCAGCGTTTCCGCGTGCGTCACTTCTGAGCGACGCATGCGCAAAGCCAACCTCATACGTCATTACCCCGGAACTGCTTCCGTTTACAACAGTAAGCGCAAGCTAGATTCGAGTGATAATTACGTTTTGAATATGGATATTTTTCTTACAAAAACGCATCGATTCGCTACAGGAGGCCTTTGTTCACCCCCCAGAACCGTGTGAGACACTTTTTATGGATGGGTGCTTTTTATTTAACTTCATTTGGACTGAAGCAATGCAACACCCGCTGACTGCAATGATAGAGCTTGAAAGACCAAAGACCATTTTTAATATAACTCAGACTGGATTCGTCTGAAAGAAGAAAGTCATATACACCTATGATGCCTCGGGGGTGAGTAAAACGCAGCCTAATTTTCATTTTTGGGTGAACTAACCCTTTAAGTTTAGCTTGCCTTTACAAAGGGAACTGTTGGACGGGAAACAATCTGGAAACATCCCTACACCCCTTTGGGCTAGTTTGTGTTTAGCATGGGCTCTCAAAAGGGTACTGTGACACATTTCTCAATTGACTCGGTGCCATATGGTTCTGCTCCACTGACCGGATCAGATACTCCCTCTTAGTTTACCTGGAAAATTGCCCAAAGTGTTCAGTTAACTAATTTTTTAGTACAATACAGGTCAACTACTATTGGTCCCACTTCTGGTACTGGGGTACACATACAGAATGGTGCTATTGTTTCTAAATTTCAGTCTCAACTGGACCACTAACCACAGTCCTAATCTAATGGACTCAAATTGTCTGTTTGACATTGCTAGATTTGTCTCAGACCTTAGCTGAAAATACCTTTTCCTGATTAAATAAGGATCCAAGAGTTAGAGACATATCTCTGTTATGAAATGCTCTTTCTCACCTCCAGCTTAAAAACAAATGTCCCTTGTTGAAGCCCCTCTGAGTAATCAGAATACCTCATTTCCTGTTGCAGTTTGCAGGGGAGTTATAAGCAAGTACAGATGAGAGGATGATTGAAATAACTGTTTTGAACATATGAGGGCCGCACAAAACAAAACAACCATTGTTTTCTCAAAATGAGAAAAATACACAGCTTTGGCTTTGTGGAGACAAATGCAGATGCTGAGGCACTGGAAGGCTTGGAAAAATATCTATCATGTCATATCATATTAATCACTCCTCTTATAATACATTTAAGTGTGTTTACCTCAATTTTCAACTAGAGACCTAAAACACCATGCATTCGTCTAGAAAATATATAGACATAAAATTTACGATAACCAAACAATAATATCTTTCAACGGCTTAAATTATCAGCAGGAAATGACGCTCCTGTTGTCATGACCAACATACTGAGGCATTTCAGTACTTAAAATTCCTTCACAGTAGATTCACAACACTTCTGCAGCTGGCTCTATCGCATACGGGACCAATAGTGCTTTCAACCCAGTTTGGCTTTAACTCAAACAGCACAACAGGTTGCTAGCTGATGCTAGCTTTGAATTCAAGCTTTAAAAATTAGATATACCAACCCCCAAATGAATATACTGTACTTTGGGTAATAAAAGTTGAGTTAAATCCTCTGACTCATATGGTTAAACCATTAGAATGTCCACTTCAAGAATGAAACTGACAGAGAACAGGAGCAGGACGCGACTGAAAAAAAACCTCTTACCCCCTGAGGGACTCCTGGCCTCTCCGACGGACCCTCTGTTGCACCTCCCCCTCAGGTTTTCCAGTGAATCGACTGGACTGGATGTCTCCATCTCCTTGCGCCTGCGCTGAATGGACCGCGGCCCACCAGATCGCAGCCCATCCGAGCACCACCTTGGCCAGCTTCCACACTCCCATTGGCCCCTGCTGTGCGACTCCTGAAGCGCCGTTAAACGTGCCTCACCCACAATAAAACTTTTCCTTTCCAATGAGCTCTTCAGACGCAAACTTCAAGCTTGTGGTCCAAGAGCACTCCCGGCTGAAGGCTAAAAAAGAGAGGACAAAATGCATACCATTATTTTCATTTACTGCTTAGCCTATTTGGCGTATACAGTGAACATATGAACAAATGTGCCCCCTCATAAATTTAGCCATTAAATCGGCCACGGTCGATGATGGAGTGTAGTATTATTCCAAGCAAACCGTGTGGCTCTTTAAGAGCCAGCCCGCATCCTTTTACAGGCCCACTTAGACTTTCTTAGTGTGCATTTGCTGTAGAAATAACCAACTCTTGGCCAAGACTGGACTCCTGGTTTTGTCCTCAACTGGCTCATTAAAATAAGATTTTAGGGTAAATAATAGGCCTCAAAAGATTTAAAATCATGGCAGAAATTGGTTTCAACTTCAGGGGGGTGGCAAAACAACATAGTTTTCTTTTCAGCGTGATATATTTGTGTTAAACCTCTGCAAAGTGGGCGTACTGCTTAATAAGGACATTCTTTAACCAACGTAAACTGGATATGCCTCCACAGACTTTTATTATATGCTGATTATAATATATAACTTTATTTTACTGTGAGCCGCTTTTGATAAAAACACAAAACTTAATGTCACAAAATGAACACTGTTTAACATGAAAGGCTTAGTTGGTTTAATGAGAAGATTGTGATAATAAATTACAGTACACCATCTAAGATGACAGGTCTAGTAGGTCTGAGAAGGAAAGTTTGAAGAGTTTTCAAGTGGGCGGGTCTAATTGCGGTGTGAACAGAAAAAAACATCAAAGAGGAACAGAAGTCTTTTACAGTATATACATACATAGATACATTTATAGACTTTGAATGCATTTTGAGTAGCTTTGATAAAAGCATTTGCTAAATTAATTAATTAAAATATTATTTAACATCAAAACGGCGTCTGCTTGTCGTTAGTTTAATAAGATGATGAGGATGATGATAGATAAATTCAGTTACAGATCACAGTTCATCTGATTTTGACAGGTCTGGCAAATCTGAGAGGGAAAGTTTGAGGAGTTTTCAGGTGGGCGGAGCTAAACGCGGCGCGCGAACAAAGAAAAAAAACACCAACGACAACAATCATCTTTCAGAGGTATTATTATGAATTACATCGTCCGCTTGACAAATTCAACATTTTTTACTTTAATTATAACGTTAAAAATGGCAGCACGTGAGCGTATCCTTTGTGCGGAAAAGAAAAGAAAAGAAAAGAAAAAAAGAGTCGCTAGAAAAAAAAACTTGAGTTTTCTGAGGCAAACGCGCTTGTACTTTACGAGAGATTTCGCGATTACATTGACTAGCGTCTAATATTCCGCTGATAATCAGTGTACTTGTTGCATTTTAGTCTATTTTAAGAAATACCAATTAGATATTTGCAGATCTAACGCGTAAAGTGTATTTAACCAACTGTTTAAAGTTGTATCTCTCTTATTAATGTTATTTTTTTTAAATGTTTCTAAACTTAACGTTTCTCATCTTTAAAATGGATTTCTATGCAGTCATGTACCAGAATAATAGTTTTATTTGCGTTTTAAATGAGTTAGCCGGTCGACAAACTGTAAGGAGAGAAACCCCGGTTTACGTCACGAAGGAATTTTTTCGTTCAAATTAAATGTTGCAAAGTAGCCAACTTCCTAATCGCCCTTAAATTCGTTCTTTCCTACATGCAATGTTAAAATCGCGTTGCATATTATGTGCGCTCCGTTGAAACTGATGCATATAAACCATGCGTGAATAATAAGGATATTGAAGCAGAAATACCTCAGATGTCTTGGAGTGCCTGGAGGAGTCCGCTATTGTCACGGGATATGTTCCCCTGAATGGAAAACTGCACTGTAGCCCTTGTGAGAAAGAGAAAAGTGAGTGAATTACCCTGATGGGTCGAGGGGAGGTGCTTTGGTTGAAGAACCATAGAGGAGGGGGTTTGAACCCACTGACTGTCCCCCTGCAATGCAACCAACTATTATTTATTTTCCATAAATTTCTCCCCCAGTAGAAACAACTATTCTTTGTAATCATTGATTGATGATGTTTATGTTTGAAAAGGCAGGATAGGCCTACAGGATAGCCACAGCAATCACGAGGCAACATTTTACAAACAATGATATTTGTAAATGCTATATAAACATACTAAGCTATAAATGTTATAGAACTAAACTTTGTAGTCAGTATATACTGAGACAAAACGTTTAACTCAAATTGTTGCCAATTATATTATTATTTAGCATTTTGTTTGCATTTTTTATGAACAAAATGTGACCAATTTAAGTGAAAAGTTGAACTTAAAAAGTATTACATTGTCTTAGTATATGTTTATTTTATTTTGCATACAAAAATGTTTCATGACCATTTGTATTTTCAACACTATTTGAGTGAAACGTTGAACCGAACATTTCAAATTGCCTTAGTATTTGGTATGAGTTATCGTGATCTGTATGATTTATACAGACTTTGCAAAAAATAAAATAAAAAGATAACTTACAAGTAAAGTAAAATGTACTACATTGCTATGACTAAAAAGTCAAACTAAAGTCAATGGAAGATCAGGCTCAGCACGTTGTCATCATATTGAAAGGGTGAATAATCCAGTGTTACACTCTAAAAAATGCTGGGTTAAAAAGGGACAAACCCAGCTATTGGGTTGTTTTGACCCAGCGGTTGGGTTGACCCCAATAGCTGGGTCAAAACAACCCAATAGCTGGGTCCCTTTTTAACTCAGTGCTGGGTTATATTTAACCCAGCATTTTTTAGAGTGTAGCCAAACAAGATGAAAAGGTTTGTTTTCTCACTCAGTTTCTTTACTGCTACATAGTTTGCCTGGTTTTAATTGGCTGTTAGGGACGACGTGCCACCTGGGTGGTCAAACAGCTGAGTGCAACCCAAATGCGAGCAACAACATTGTTGAAACTGCCAAACTGATTCAGCAGGTTTAAAAAACATAGATGCCTTTGTTGCCTGAGCAATTTCAAGAACTGTCTCCATCACCCTCACATTTATTGTGCTCATTTTATCCCTCAGTAAGTCAAAAAACGTGGGAGATTTGTTTAAAATATATTAGTTCCCAATGTCATAAAAGTTAATTGGAGAAATCAGCGCGCAACTGTGTTTGAGCACAACTCGTGATTAAATTGCCTAAGTCATGTAAAATACGTCCATGGGCCTTTAGTGCTAGAAGTTATTTGCGGCGTGTTTTCCGATCCTCCTCGTCCTTGGAGCCTTGAATGCAATGGAATGAGATAGGACCAATGTTCTTGGCAAAGTCGTCTTTCTCCGAGACCCACGCGGCTCACTCCTAAACAGAACCATATTGTGCGCTGAGCCCACTTTCCCTTTCCTTTCGACTCCCTCTCTACATCTGACAGGTTGTGTTGAACAGTATGTTTGCGCCCAAAGAGGATGCGACATCCAGAGACTTTCCAGGAAGATGATAAAGAACAAGATGTTTTCTGACTAATCTCGTGACTGTCTTGGATTGCTCTGGGGATTATACATTTACGAAAATTGTAAACACTGTCTGCTTTCGATTAATGTAATACTTTCCCTATTAGCGGCGTTTGCTTAGCAAGCATCACTATTACTTTTGCTCATAGTGATTGGAACAGACATCTTGTGATCTAGACATTAAGGGAATAGTTAATTTACTGCAAATTTCCTCACCCTCAGGCCATTCAAGATGTAGATGAGTTTGTTTCTTCATCAGATTTGGAGAAATGTAGCATTGAATCACTTGCTCACCAGTGGATGCTCTGCAGTGAATGGGTGCCGTCAGATTGAGAGTCCAAACAGCTGATAAAAACATCACAATAATCCACAAGTAATCCACACCAACGTCTTGTGAAGCCAAAAATCTGCATGTTTGTAAGAAACAAATCCATCATTAAGACACTTTTAACTTAAAAACGTTGTTTCTGGCTAAAACTCTGTAATCCATAATAACGCTTCCTCCAGTGAAAAAGTCCATCTCCTGTTTTCCTTTCGCATCAAAATCCACCCACATATTTGTTTTGGACTGTTTTTGCTTGTAAACAATGCTTGATCTGTGCAGATTCAGACCAGACAACTTTTTCACTGGAGGAAGAGTTATTATAGTTTATGGAAACATATTTCAGCTTGAAGCAACAGTTTGAAGTTAAAAATGTCATAATGATGGATTTGTTTCTTACAAACTCGAGGGCTTTTCACTTCACAAGACGTTAATTGATGGACTGGAGTGTTGTGGATTATTGTGATGTGTTTATCAGCTGTTTGGTCTCATTCATTCTGACGGCACCCATTCACTGCAGAGGATCCAGTGCTGAGCAAGTGATGCAATGCTACATTTCTCCAAATCTGATGAAGAAACAAGCTCATCTACATCATGGATGCCCTCAGGGTGAATAAATGTTCAGCAAATTTTCATTTTTGGGTGAACTATTCCTTTAAGGACTCCTTAAATGATGTGCCTTGTTGCTTTTCGCAGTAATCAAACTTACATTTTTTTAATTTATTTTTTTTGCTCGACAGAGTCAATCCATATTTAGAGGCCAGAATATCTGAAAACTTACAAAATATTTGTCAGTACATGTTCTCAATATATTATAAAGAACACAATTAAATTAGCATGTTTTGCCGGCTTGTTTGTTAGAAAGGCAATAATTGCAGGGAGGATTTGAGATGGTGTTGTGCTACAGCTGGACTTTGTCATAGAGAAGGTTTGTTTATGAGAGATGACAAATCCTGCGTAAACCAGATGAAGATCCAGTTGTTTTTAATATGGTTCTGATCCCATCAAGAAGCCTCAGGTTGACTCCTCCATTAGTTCTGTCGATGCTGCTTCGATTGGCTTTGGCTCGGCATCTCTGTCTTCTTTTTTAAAAGAACAAAATGTTTTGTTTCTGCAAAACAATGCATTATAAAAACAGGAATTGCATTTTATATTAAGCGTTTTGAGTCATAAAACAAACAAAAAAAAACAAGTTAGATAACAATAAATGTGTTTTAAACTAGCCTAAACAGCAGTTTGTTAGGGTTGCTATTGCTAGGAACATTGGTTTGTTGTTTGCTGACTTTATTTATGCTGTTGTTGTCCTATTTGTTTGCTCTTGTTGTGTTTTATGTGTGTTATTTGTCATTGATATTGAGGTTTGTGTGCTACAGTATTGTTCACAAGTTTACGGTTGGTAAGATTTTTTAAATGTTTTGAAAGAAGTCTCTTCTGCTCAACAAGGCTGCATTTATTTTTATCAAAAATACAGTAATATTGTGAAATATTTTTAGAATTTAAAAGTACTGGTTTCTATGTGAACATATAGTAAAATGTCATTTATTTCTGTGGTCAAAGCTGAATTTTCAGCATCATTACTCCAGTGTTACATGATCTTAAGAAATCATTCGAATAGCTGATTTGCTGCTGAAGAAAGATTTCTGATTATTATCAATGTTGAAAACAGTTGTGCTGCTGAATATTTTTGTGGAAACCATGATACATTTTATTTTTCAGGATTCATTGATGAATAGAAAGAACAGTATTTATTTGAAATATAAATCTTTTGTAACATTATAGATGTCTTTACTGTCACTTTTGATCAATTTAATGTGTCCTTGCTGAATGAAAGTATTAATTTCTTCAAAAAACTTACTGACCTCAAACTTTTGAATCCATGTACAAATTACACAGTACAATATCTACAAGAAATTTTTCTCTTCAGAGGCAAATATTATGTTTAAGAATGAAAATGTCTTGCATTGCTAATTGATCATTTATTGAACAAGATATTTTGCTGTTGATTGTCTGAATGAGACTTTTTTTTACCAACAGTTGACTTATTTACAGTTAACATGAATAAATCATAACTGAGAAACTAGCAATTTTGTAAAACTCACATATCAGAAGCTCCCTCAAGCTTTAGGAAACTAGATACTTCTATAGGTCCTAATATTTTTTAAGGATCTAAGCTGAAAACTGTTATCGGTGCATCTCAGAGAATCAACTGAAGCCGTAGCGAGACACCCCTGTCATTTATTTTGGAAAGGCGTTTGATTCAAGCCACATGCGGAGCGTTATGCACATTAGTTCTGTGCAAACTATAAGCATGCACATATCTTCAGGTTCCTGAGAGTTTCTTCTTTGACGGACACTTATATCGAGGTCAAGAAAATGGGAACGCTCCTTATCTATTGGGTAATGAATGCCTTGCAATTTGACATTGTAGCCTTGACGCAAGGAACGGATGTTGGAACATAGGAACCCTATGTTGTAAATTATTGAGTCACTAAATGAGGTTTGGATGGGCTTCAGATCTGGGTTTGTGGTGGTGACCCACAGGGGTCAGGGAGGAGCGTGACAGTTTTGAGATGCTCCCTGTTTGCAACCCTGCGGTCTGGCGTGAAAAGGACTGTGAAAGAATCGGCTTGACAGTAGAAATTAACGCATCTTTAAGTGTATGTTTTACTTGTATATAAACGAACAACGCAAACATATTCTGCTAAACATCTTATTTTGTGCGCCACCGAAGCCATACGGGTTTGGAGCGACACAAGGGCGAATAAATGAAGAACTGATGAAATTTGTGGTCATCGGTTGAAAGAATCCACCATTAAATCTCCCATAAAGTCCTTGAGTTTCATTCTGTTAATTTCCCCAAACATCAGAGGAGTGCTAAACTATTTTGGGAAGCGGCTCTTAGGTCACTCTAATTTCTGGTGCTTTTACACCTCAAGAGCTCTTTGTTCTCTTAAACACCTTGTTCTTTTTTTATATATAAATATATTTCAGTAACGCTAACCTCACCTTCCTCCGAGGCAGCTGTAGGCCTCCAGTGATGTAGCGAGGTAAGAATGCAGGACTTCAAAGGCGGACAAAAGG